TGCATAAATTAATATAATCTATAGAGTATCTCAAAAGTTTTATGAAAATTTTTGTTATACACGATCCGCCTCTTCCCCGCACCACCACGCTTCCGCAGCCGGATTCAATTCGGCAACCAACAAATGCGCAGCCCAGTGACAAAGTTCCACAGCCATATCCCATGGTTGAATGCCTCATAACATGCTATAAACTTCATTGCCATGGTGGAAGAAGCTATGAGTGTCTGCTTAGCACTCTTCCAGGAAATAGCTTCACCAGCAAGCAGGTAGATATAGTCTGATGTGGATCTCCTACTATCTTGGCATCCGGTGAAATCAGAATCAGAATAACCGATGATCTCCAACTGATCCAATCTCCTATATTTGAGCATGTAACCTTTTGTTCTCTGTAAATACCGCATGACCCGTTTGACTGCTTTCTAATGATCCATTCCCGAATTACTTAAATACCTCCTTAGCATCCCAACAATGTATGCAATATCAGGACGCATACAAACTTGAGCATACATTAGACTCCCTACAGCCGAAGCATAAGGAATCTTCTGCATTTCTTTAGTTTCAAAGTCATTCTTGGGGCATTGACTTAAACTGAACTTATCTCCCTTAGCTACAGGGGTGTCACCTGGTTTACAATCCTGCATGTCAAATCTCTTAAGTACCTTTTCGATATAGCTCTTTTGTGATAATCCAAGAATACCACGAGACCGATCTCGGTGTATCTGAATCCCTAAAATAAAAGAGGCGTCACCAAGATCTTTCATTTCAAATTTCTTTACTTGAAATCTCTTAGTTTCGTGCAATAAACCTATATCATTACTGGCAAGCAGTATGTCATCGACATATAAAACCAAAAATATATGCTTAGTCCCACTGAAGTTGTGATATATACAATCATCCACAGCGTTCATCTCAAAACCGAATGAGATGATAACTTGGTGAAATTTGTAATACCATTGACGAGATGCCTGCTTGAGTCCATAGATGGATTTCTTTAATTTGCAAACCATTTGCTTTGCATTGCCCAATACAAAGTTTTTTGGCTGCACCATATAAATTGTCTCATCAATGTCACCATTGAGAAACGCAGTCTTAACATCCATCTGATGTAACTCAAGGTCAAAATACGCCACCAAAGCCATTATGGTCCTGAACGAGTCTTTCGATGAAACCGAAGAGAAAGTCTCTTTATAATCGATGCCTTCTTTCTGTGTGAAGCCCTTAGCGACAAGACGTGCCTTGTATCTTTCCACAACGACCTTCGAATCCCTATTGGTCTTAAATATCCATTTGTAACCAATCAGTTTCGCACCTTCAGGCAATGGGACTAGATCTCATACGTCATTGTCGTTCATGGACTTGATCTCTTCATTCATGGCATCAATCCACTTTTGAGAGTTAGAACTTTCTATGGCTTGACGGAAGTTGATTGGATCATCTTCCACCACTCCAATGTCAACCTCATGTTCTTGGAGAAATACGATGTAATCGTCCGGAACTGCACTTCTCTTCTCTCTAGTAGATCTCCTTAATGGCATTGGTTCTTGAGGTTGTAGAGTTTGTTCTTCTGGAACAACTTCTTGAACTTGAACGGGAGGTTCAATGACATCGTCTGAATCCGGAGTTGCTTCTTGAACAATGTGAAGTATAAGAGCTTGATCCTGATCATTATCAATAGCAATTGGAGGAATATCAATGTATTCCTCTTCAAAGACAAAGTCCCTAACTCTTTCTCCCCCGAAAAACTCAACATCCTTAAAGAACCGGGCATTTCCCGTCTCAAAAATTGATTTAGTCATGGGATCATAAAACTTGTAACCCCTGGATCTTTCAGAATATCCAATAAAATAGCAACTGATAGTCCTTGAGTCCAGTTTCTTTTCATTTGGCCTATAAGGCCTTGCCTCAGCTGGACATCCCCAAATGTATAAGTGCTTCAAACTAGGCTTTTTGCCCATCCAAAGCTCATAAGGGGTTTTAGCAGTCGCTTTAGTTGGAACTCTGTTGAGTATATATGTTGCGGTCTTTAATGCTTCTCCCCAGAGTGATTCTGGCAAGGTAGAATGACTAATCATAATCCTCACCATATCTTTAAGCATTCTGTTTCGTCTTTTAGCAACACCATTCGTGCTAGGCGAACCCGGCATGGTGTACTGTGGGACGATACCGTATTTCTCTAAGAACTTAGCAAACGGTCCTGGACGTTGTTCACCTGATCCGTCATATCTGCTGTAGTACTCACCACCATGGTCAGATCTGACACTTTTAATCCTTTTACTGAGTTGGTTCTCAACTTCAGCTTTATAGTTCTTGAACACATCCAATGATTATGATTTCTCACGGATGAGATAAAGGTAGCCATATCGTGAAAAATGGTCTATGAACGTTATAAAATATTGTTAACCATTCCAAGAAGCCGTAGGGAATGGTCCATAAATATCTGTGTGTATAAGTTCTAAGATGTCTAAAGTCCTGTTAGCACCCAATCTCCTGATGTTTGTTTGTTTCCCCTTTATGCAATTAATGCACACATCAAAATCTATAAAGTCAAGGGGATCGAGAATCCCGTCAGACACAAGCCTCTCAATTGTCCTTTTAGAGATGTGACCTAATCTCTTGTGCCACAACGAGGCATAATTCTCACTGGTTAATTGCGCTTTACACCTTGTGTATTTACATGCAAGGATTCATTAAAAGAGGCAACTGTATCAAGCAAATATAGATTATCATAACCTGATAAAGAACCGGTACCAATCAATTTTGAATCTTGAAAAAGACTAAATATTCCATTTCCAAATGAACAACAATATCCAAATTTGTCCAAAGCAGAAATAGAAATCAAATTCCGTCTAAATGATGGTACAACGAAAGTTTCATTCAAATCCATATAAAAACCAGTTCTTAACAATAATCTAAAAGTTCTTATTGCCTCGACTTCCACCGACTTGCCGTCGCCAACATAGATGTATCTTTCACCATCACTTAGTTTTTGGCAACTCGGGCAACCCTGCATAGACACACTAATGTGAGTTGTTGCACCAGAATCTATCCACCACGTGTGTCTAGGTACCGAAGTCAAATTAACATCAGAACAAACCAAATTAAAAAGCATACCTTTCTTTGTACGCCATGCATGATAGTTGGTACATTGTTTCTTCTTATGACCTGCAACTCCACAGAAGTAACAGCCATCCTGAGTTTGTTCCTTTTGCTGTTTCTTCAGTGGTGCTGAATCCGCAACATCATTATCTTTCTTTCTCTTCTTATTCTTCTTGTCCTTAGAGGTAATGGCTAAGTGAGCACTTTCTGCCTTCTCATGCTTCAACCTTTCCTCTTCTTGGACACAATGTGAGATGAGCTCATTAAGGGACCAAGAGTCCTTTTGACAATTATAGCTCACCTTGAATTGACTGAACTGTGCCGGAAGAGAAATCAGAACCAAGTGCACTAACAAGTCTTCAGATAATTCCAACTTGAGTGCCTTCAGTTTTAAAGCAATGTGAGACATTTTCATAATGTACTCCCTGATGTTTCCTTTCCCTTTGTACCTCATTGAGATAAGGTTTGCTAAAAGTGTACTAGTTTCAGCCTTTTCATTCTTGGCAAACCTATTATCTAGATCCTCAAGGAAACCCTTAGCCATAGTAACCTTATCGGACATAGTGCCCCAAAAAGCTTCTGGAATAGCACGCTTCATAACCATCAGACTTATACAGTTTGATCGTTCCCACTTTTCCATCTCCCTCTTATCATGAGAGATACTCTTATCAGTGAGTGCATTAGGTTAATCGACTCGTAAAGCAAGGTCTAGGTCCATGACTCCGAGAACAATCAAGACATTCTCTTGTCATGCCTTAAAATTGGTGCCATTAAGCATAGGAATAGAATTTATGCTAGCAGAGATATTTGCAGCAGAACTATAAACTAAACAGAGAACAAAACAAACAAAACAAAACAAAACTCACATAAATACCATAAAAACAGAGAACAAAACAAAACAAAACTCACATAAATACCATATTATGCAAATAATGGTAGGACCCATCACAAGATACCGAGCACAACATCAATATTTAGTCTTTGGACAAAAATATTAACTTGTAAGTGGTACTCTTGGTGTAGTAATCAAACACTGATAATAAGAACATGTCGAACAATAAATCTTCCTTTGGGCCGATTTGTTGTTCACATGTAAAAATTGAATAATCATCACATGCTTATCACCACAGGTGCGTATGTAATTCGGCCAAATATTGACCTTCCTTTGGGCAGGCCAATATCCGCATGAATTACACACACACAACTGTTTAATATTCTAAATTAAATTAATTTTCACAAGAGAGATTGCTTTGGCAACATGTTGCTTCCATTAATTCATTTTAGAATATTATACACCTTAAAAATAGTACCAAAATTTGAATTTAAATAGCACCGAAATTGACCAAAAAAAACATTTTCTCATTATATACACACACACACACACACACCTTAGCCGCAGGTTACACCTGCGGCTTTATTTTCCTAACACACAGGCCCAATTGGGCCTGTGACCTTGAGTGCAGCCCGCAGGCTGCCTTAAGTTTCCATTTTGTTCTTTTTTTTTTTTGATCAGGGGCCCAGATGGGCCCTTGTTCTTTAATTTCTAATGGCTCTGGGCTTTGAGGCCCAGAGCAACAATTGCGAGCCTTGAGAAATCCAAGCGGCCAACGGCGCGGCAGACAGCCGCAGTTCTTTTACCGGTGCAGCCTATACACTTTCTGGATAGATTCAACTGATTCATATATATATATATATATATAAACTTGAATCTCCAAAAATTTTAATTCTTAATGATTCAACATGAATATGCTCTGATACCACTTGTTAGAAAAATTGTTTTAGGGTGAAAACCTTCACCAAATACCGGATCGTTCATGTTGTATCACTAAGAATTTATGATCTAAGCGGAAGCATATCCGAATCAGTCATGATGGAATCAAATCACAAGTCTTGCGGTTAGTCTTCCAAATCTACACGTAGTCCTTTGAAGTTTCCTTTGGATTCTCTTTATTCTCTCTGATGATGGGATGTCAGAAATAGAATGAAATGTACGTGTGATTTGGGGACCATAACCGTATATAAGTTAACTGCCTATTAACTTTCATTATTTCTAATTTGGCTCATCATAAAAGTAGAAATAATGATTTGGTCTCTACACATAAAATGCCCATACTTAATTAGATGCATTAAAACTCAAAATACTTAAAGTCTTATCAGATCACTTTAAATGGGCTCAACCTAATATGATAGCCTCTAACACAATAATAAACATATAAGCCCACATGGTAAATTAAAACCCAACACAAAGATGTGGAAGTGTTGTGAAACGATGATGAAAATTACTTTAACAAGTAAAACATACAAGTATAAGAATTTTGTGCATAACCCAATTAGAGTTATGATTCATTCATATTAAAATAATCCCTCATTATGATATTGCTTGGCGTTTCGTTGTTTCATTTCCAAGGATAAAAGGGATGGAAAAGTTTAAGTTTGGAGATTCTAGACTCTTTACGTATATTAGCAATGAAGTTGGCATATTAAGGTGTCCCAAGTGCTTGTTTGATTCCTAATTGTGTACCAAATTAGTTTTCAAGTCCCGAAGCACATGTTCACGTTTTCAACCTTTCGCAACCATCATGCACTTTTTATTTTATCTCCTCTGCTAGGATATTTGAAACCTCATTTGCATACGTTTTACCTTCCAACCTTGTATAAGCAAGAAAATTCGATTTCCTGCAGTGTCATTGGGGCTGTCCAGTGGCAGACATCAGTCTACAGATTCCAGGGATTCATAATGTCCTCAATTCATTAGCGGTGAGCAACTTGCAAGTTGTTTGTTGGTTTGTTGATTCATCAACACTTTCCAATTCCGGCATCTTGAGTCTGTAGAATCACTTTTTTGTTAGATACTAATATTTTTCTTAGCGACAAAGGCTTATGTTGCAATGCTAATTGAATTGCCCTCTGTCATTCCATTTCAATGTTGCCTTACTCTTTATTACAGGTCATTGCCGCGGCGGTGACAATGGTTGGAAATGAAAGACAAGTTTATCATACAGTCAATCGTTTGAGATTGCACTTACAGAATTTTGGAGGCATTTCAAGACGTTTTGAGATGATTGGCAGTATATGCTGTTGCCATATAGTTGATGACTATGCTCATCATCCCACAGAAATCCGTGCAGTTCTTCAATCAGCACGGCAGAGGTTCCCCTACAAGGCTTTGTTGGCTGTGTTTCAGCCTCATACTTACAGGTAGTCACTCTTGTAAAGTTATAACGAGGAGAGTTTCTGTGTAGAAAACTCTGCATAATTTAGCACAAGGCATGTCTTGTGAACTTAATATATCTTTTATTATTATTTTTTTTTTTGTTAAGGCGAATTTAATTTATCATAATTTCTGCAGTCGTCTAGCAGCACTAAAGGATATGACTTTGCCATTGCCCGTAGTGACGCGGACCAAGTTGCTTTAACAAGGGTACTGTTATCTTCTAACAGTGTTCTTGCATCATCCTATTGCTAGAGACCTCTAACAGTTAGATTGTTCAGGTTTATGCGTCTAGAGAAACAGACAGTTGGAATGTCAATGGAGATGAGTTATCTAATTCGATAATTGGCCCCCCATCTGAATACATTCCTTCGCTGGTAATAAAAAATTTCCTTTTTAATTTCCCTACCATTCTGACTACCAACAATGTGTAGATGATGGTTGTTGAGGAAGTGCATGACCAATTATGTGTTATGTTCTGCTATTCGTTTTATTCTTGGGGAATCCCTTTGCTCCATTGCTGATCAAATCACATTGGCATTTTCGCGGATTTGGTACGATGGGCAGGAAACATGATGAGGACTAGAAGATGACTGCTAAAGAAATAATTCAACCAGATACCTCCCGGGAGTCATTAAGATCTTGTTGATAAAGTATGTCTAGTCTATAACATAATGAAACCACCAAATTAATGATGCAAACTTTGTTACATCTTGTTCTTTGTTATAATTCAAGACATTCATGTGTCATTGTCATTTGATGCTATCATGAATCATAATAAATGACTAGCTCTCCAATGATGCAAACTTTGTTACATCTTGTTCTTTGTTATAATTCAAGACATTCATGCGTCATTGTCATTGTCATTTGATGCTATCATGAATCATAATAAATGACTAGCTCTAACATACCAAATGCATTGCAAAATGCTCTGAACATTAGTTAGTTCACGAATCTTCTATATTTTTGGTCCATGAAGCTCAAGATAAAGGATATAAATTCATTGCAATAACCATTCCATTTTCCTTCAACGATAAGTAGAACAACTAATCCTAGAGCCACCAATCTTCCAAACTAATACTAAAGAACAGAAGCCATTGTTCAGCCGATCTCAACTATGAGCAACAGACACAATCTTCAAAACTAATACTACAAAACCAAACAATCGAATAGATCAAAACAAATAACAGAAATCAAGACGGGGCAAACTTTGAAGACCCACTGTACAAAGCTTCTAACAAGCCTAGCTCAATAACACTTACGTCAATCCCTCATCAAATTTTCAAAAAAATTCTCCAAAACTGTCAACAACAAAAGTGTTATATATAAAAATAATAATAATATTTGAATCTTACCCACCAAAGAAGGAGAAGAACCCTTTCTTCTTGGGCTCTTCCTCAACCATAACAGCCTTCATACTATCCTGCTCAACCAGCCTCCAAGCCGCTTGCTCAAAAGCCAACCCAGCCAATGTCGGCGGCTTATTCAACACCAGAGGATACCCTCTGTTTGTGCTCCTTATGACCTCCGAATCCTCGGGAATCACTCCAAGCAAAGCCAACCCCAACATCTCCTGCACATCCAGCACCGACATCATATCCTCGCCCTTTATCATATCCGTCCGAACCCGGTTCACAATCATCTTTATATCCCTTATTCCGTCGCATTCCAGAAGCCCGGTGACTCTGTCGGCGTCTCTCAAGCTGGTGATATCCGGGGTGGTGACGAGGACGGCCTCGTTGGCCGGAGTAATGGCGGTGATGAAGCCGGCGTCGATGCCGGCGGGGCAATCGATGATGACGAAGTCTGGGCAGCCTTCTTGGCGGGACTTGAGGGCGTCGACGAGCCAGATTAGGGCTTTGCCGCCGAAGCCGATGGGGAGTTTCGACCTAGGTTTTGAGATGCAGAGGAGCTCGAAATTGGACCAGCGCTTGTCCCTGACGAGGGCCTGGTCGAGGCGGCAGTCGCCGTTGAGGACCTCGACGACGGTGTAGTTGACGCGGTTCTCGAGGCCGAGGAGGAGGTCGAGGTTGCGGAGGCCGACATCGGCGTCGATGGCCACGACGGAGAAGCCGAGGCGGGCGAGGGAGAGCCCGATGTTCGCGGTGGTCGTCGTCTTGCCGACGCCGCCCTTGCCGGAGGTTATGACGACCACGCGGGGGGTTTCTCCGGCCAGCTCCGGCTTCCTATTCCATTGGAGGACGGACCGTACGGCCAGGGGTTTTGGGGTAGGGAATCTTGGGGGTTTTGGGGTTTTGGGGGTGTGGAACTGGAAGTTGGTGGAAGGGAGGAATCGGAGAGAGAGCATTTTCTAGAGAGAGAAAGAGAGAGAGTTTTAGAAGTTGAAGAGGAAAAGATTCATTTTTGTGGGGGAAGTGAAGAGAGTTGGACTGTCTGTGAGTGTTCCCAGTGATAATTTTGGACTCTGCAATGGTGTTTATTTGGGAAAATTTCGGACTAATTTTAATAAATTTCCCCAAATTTTATTACTTTTATTTTTTCCCCTTCATTGGGAAAAGTCTATAAACCTGAATTTGGAGTTGGAGCCGTGGCCATGGCAAAAGGGATGGATTAATTTCAATTTTTCCACTGAATTTTAGACCTTACTCTGCTAATTTTAAAACGTAACATTTGTTTCTTTTTAATTTTAAAATTTTAATAGCATGTTTATTTATGAGGAGTGAGAAATAAAAATTAAGAATCAGAATCAACCTCATTTTTATTTATCCATTTTTATCTTAGAATAAAAGTAGGAATGTGTGAGTCTCATACCAATTTGAGGTTGAGGAATAGAATTAACACTCTCCCCACTCTCTACAGGATTGGCACTCTCAATTCTAATAGTAAATATGAATTATGATTTTGCCTCTAATTTTACTAACAAATTTGTGAATAGAAAAGTAAAAAGTAAAAAATTGAAAATGTTCTAATTTATTTTCACGTCTCTCGTATCTCTTTGCTCATTTCATCTGATATTTTCTTCTCCTCAAAACACAATATTGCATCCACAGCAACCAAGAGTATTCCTTTTCTCTTCAAGGTGAGTCAATAACATAAATCACTGTGGTTCTTTTTTATTGAATTGCAAGTTTATTTTATTTTTATTTTTTGTGTTTATTTGTTCAATCTGTGATCAAACTATGTTTTGCCCCTTGATTGCACAACATCAATTCAAAGATTCCTGAAGATCTAGACCATTACAATTTCTAATTACTAATTAATAAAATTTAGTTGTGATTAAAAAAATCTAATTATTAATCAGTTATCCTAATATTAAGATAATTAGCATAATATACAATTTTTTTTTTAAGTTCAACACACAAAAATCTACTAAAAGGGTAGGTAAGTAAATTTATAACAGTTTATTCTGATTTTGGGTGTAAGTAAACACATGAATGGGATTGGGACTGATTCTGATTCCTATAACCTAAAGTAAACAGTTTATTCTAACTCCGATTCATGTCCACTCCGATTACGGATAAGTAAACATGCCACAACAACTTTAACTATTACGTTAGTTTCGTAAACGGAATCACGACGTATCAATATGTGGAATGGAGAATACTTGTGTATACCTTCATTTTGCTTAACTCCAAAACTGCAAACATGGCATGATCAAGCGAATCAGGATCATCTGTGTCCCCAGTAAAAATTTTATATTTCGTTTCATATTAATGTGCTTCCTACTTACTAACATAAAAACCGTAAGGGCTTATTATAGTGACACCTCTTGTGTTTTATTAAAATTATAGTGACACTTCCTTAACCGAATTTAATAACAGTAACACCTGTATCTGAAACACTATTAAATTTTAGTGAGAAATGTCAAAACTACCCTTGTGTTAAATTTGTTTGCTTTCTTTTTTTTTTTATTTGATTTTTTTAATAAAAAATTGTGTTAGGATGTGTTGTAATATTTTTTAAAGACTTAACGTAAACATAGGTTAAAAAAATATGCACCCTCTCCTTTTTTTACTCTCAATACTCCCTTCTAACTACAGACGCTATATAATTTTGAAATAGTTAAATTTTCTTTCTACACACTCATATTATTCTAAAATTACCCCTAACTATTTTAATAAAATTATTAATGATAGTTTGGGTGCGTTTGGAACTCATTCCAAAATAATTTTATTTTTTGTATAAAAATGGAAATGAAAACGTTTTCACATAAATTATTTTTAAAAATGCGTTTGTGATTTTGTTTTTTGTATAAAAATAGAAATGAAAACGTTTTCACAGAAATTATTTTTGAAAATGTGTTTGTTAGTTTTATTAAGAAATTATTTTAAGTATAAAAAATCTATTAATATCTTTCTCTCTCCCTATCTGCTTGAGAGAGGAGAAAAAGAAAACAAAAAATGAAAAACAACTAAAAGTCATTTTTCATTTTTCTCTTATTTTACACTAAATTAAAAAATCATTTTTATTTTTATTTTTTATCTTTAATTGTACAAAAAGTGTTTCTCTCCCGTTTTCATTTTTTCTTTCTCAAAAATCGTGAAAAACAAAAACAACTCCGAACACAACTTTTTATTTGCACTCTCCTCATTTCTTTCTATACCCATTTTTGTACTCTTAACACCCTCTTCTGTCTTTTGTTTATATCTCTTTATTTTCTATTATTACTGTCTTTTGTTGTTGGTTTTTTTTTTTTTTTTTTTATAATGAGCAACTTTTATAAATCAAAGGCTAAAAAAAGCCAACAAAAGTCACAGCCAGAGCCGCTAATTCTCATCTTGATTTTCTTCCAAAAAAAAAAGAAAGAAGAAAAATCGTATTTTAATTTTTGTCGTAAATTTATTTGTGTAGTCTATTCGGTAATCTGAAGAAATATTATTACGTTAAATAGAAATGTCATCCTTTAAAAAAAAATCTAAATACAAAGCAAACGAAAAATAAATAAACAATTTACAATAAAAACTATAAATAATAAAAAAAGAGTAAATGAAAAACAAAAAAAACAAAAAAAAAAACAAAATGTGAGTTGGTCAGCCCTCAGATTGCATAGCAGACCAAAAAAAAAGTTTTACTGATCAGTTAAAAAAAATTAGTGCAGGAAGATATATATACAACCATGTACGCAAGTGTTTGAGCAAAAAACCGACGCCACAACCAACTCTATAGAGAAGAGACAGAATAGACCTTGGAAACCATAATCTCACGTTACAAAAAATAATAATAATAATAAAATGATTAGCTTAAAAAATGATTAGTAAACATATATAAACACAAAATGAAAAAGAATAGTAAAGAAAATTTGACATACATTCATGTAAATTTTTAGAATAGTGTTTGAAAGATAGAAATTTAGGTTTTCCTATAGATTTTTGAAATATAAATAATTTATAATTTGTCAATATCATATTAGGAGTGTGCGGAGAGAAAAAAAAACCCCTCGATCATTAATTTCCTTTTTGTAATAAAATTTAATTATATAATTAAATCTATTGTTATTTTTTGTCATTCTATTTAAGGGTGTTTTTATAATTTGAAAATTTTAATTTAAGAGAGGTGTAGAGAGTAAAAAAAGAGGTGCATATAAAACTGTCCTTAATTTTTTTTTTGTCATTAATGTTTTAAGTTTAATTTAAACTATATTTGTGTTTCAGTATTAGGATAAAATTTTCTAATTTAATTCATTCTTTTAATTAACTAATTTTCATTATAATATAGTTTGTCCTAATAATGCACCAAATATTAAACAGTTTTTTTTATTTAATATGCTAGTTTAGTGGATGGAGAACATTATTAAAACAAAGGATTTTTAGAAAAAGAAAATCGAAAAAATATTTGTTTTTAACTTTTTATTATAGTGAAAATTATAGTTATAAATGTGTAAAAATTAACTAAATTTATTTTTTGATGCTAAATAAGGGTATAAACCTCTTTTCTAATACTATGTATAACTTAGAAACATTTTTTAGTGAATAGAGGGTTATTTTTTTGGCATTTTTTAAAAATTTAATGGTCAATATTGACGGTCAACTCACGGTCAACTAACAGAACGGGTATCCGTCTATTATTTTAATTAAGGGGTGTTGACGTAATTGATTTCGGTTAGAACCATAATGAACAAATAATAATTAAGAATGATTTTAAAATAAAAAAACTTAAAATAATAAAATACTATGCGTGATTGTGAAGATTGGAACAAAAAATTTTCCAACTTGGTGCTTGTGAAGATGAGAGCTTCGTTATTGTTTTATGAGTACTTGTTGACAATTTCTCTATTGTTGCAATCTTCTTATGAGATTGGGGAGAACTCCATTTAATTGATTCAAGTTTTTAATTTAAATTGAGATGTGGCTTTATGTAAGAACTTTTTATTTTAGTAAAAAAGTTAGATATAACTGTTTTTTAGAGCTTTTTACTGTAACAAAACTTAAATTTTAAACTCGAATCGGTAAAATGAATGAGTATCGATTAGCTTAATAAAATTAAAAATTACTTGGCTTTCGAGCTTGTAATAATTAATTAAAGTGCAGAAGAGATGAATCCTTAAGGTCTTGTTACATAACTATCACTAGGTCTTTCCTGAATCTATCTAATTTTGTAACATGTTAAGTGTGAGAATTACTTTTAAACCACTGCTCAATTTTTACTGAATTAGTATCTTATAAAGACATAGCTCTACTTCTCCATATTAAATTCTCCAAATCCCTGATGCCTAAGTAATCACATATTTTTATGTTATTTGGTAGACTCAAATATTAAAATATGAAAAGGTTAATTAAAAAGCATTTTATTTTGTTTAAATGACTTGACACCTTTAGTTAGATATCATAATTGAACAGGTGATTTGAATTTAAAAATAGTGAATTTTTTTACTCTACCATACCATGAATGAGACATATATGATTTAAGAATGGAAAAAAAAAAGTGAAATCAAAGGAGTATTTATTTTCTTAGACTTGTTTTTCGTTGTCTCATGGTAATGGTAATGAACTAATGATTGCTTAATTAAAAGAAAAAAAAAAAAAAGGAGAAAAACAAAAATGCCATTCATAATAATACTACTTAGTTTATACGAGGCACAAGTCTACTAAACGCTGGATTTCATTAGGCCTGCCAAACACTACCCGAATCTCAATCCTGAACTCCTGCACTTTGATGCACCTCGTACGACACGAGAGGACTAATTATGTCTACATAAATATATAAACACCGATTTATTTAGTTTGTTTTAAGTTGTGTTTGGTACGAGAGTTTTAGGGCATGTTCTTTTGTCTAAAAAACTCAAAAAAAGATAACTCGAGTTCTAATTTTATTTAAATTCACGTTCTTTTAAGTTTTAACTGTATTCAACTTTACTCAACTTTATTCAAGTTATAACTTCAACTCAAGTTATAACTCAAATTCAACTAAAAAACTACACTCAAGTTACACTCTAAAAGAACAACCTCTTAGTTTAAATTTTTGTTTGTAAAAAGTAAAAAATAGTTCTTAAAAATTAATGTTTAGTTTAGATAATTTTGATTTAAAATTTAAATTTTAATGTGATGTTTTAAACTATAACTACTCTAAAAAATAAAATTACCTCCCACTTAATTTTAGATGGTTTACACCTCTAGTTCTGATTCTGGTTCCAGAACTATAGTTTGAAACCCAAATTAAAACCATAAATTATGATTCTAATTCTAAAATTAAAATCATCATGATTTAAATACTCGTACTAACGCAACCTTAATTTTCCTTTGTTTTACTTTCACTTTTCTTTTTTAGGAAGAGGAATATTTCAGCAAATTTAAATCAATAAAAAAACTTATCCTTTAAGGAAATATATAATTAAATATTTAATAAATACATCAATACTCTCTTAAGTATTTAATGTATGATAAAAAAACCAAGACGGCAGTGCCATTGCGGTTGAGCAAATGCTTCCCGAAGCAAAGTTGCAATATGACCCACGTAATCTGGAAAATTTATAGTAAAGTCCTTCTATGTAGTATAAAGACCATAAATAGACACTGATTCAATACAAACCCTTTACATGGCCCACTTAACATGGGAATTGTTTTTAACCACAATCTCTTAAATGTCATTTGGATCTACAATCCAAGCCGTTGAATAGACCTTCCAACCGATCGGAATCAAAAGAAATTCCAATCGAGTGGAGCTGGGCCCCACTTAATTAACCCAATCCATCACAAAAACTGGTGCCACGTTTCATGATATCAGAAGCGAAACGGTTCCCAAATTGGAACCAAAGACGCACAAGAAAGTCAGATATTCTAGATTTACCCTTTAGATCAACCCCACCCAGCGTCCACCACGTGTACTGATGCTATTCGTGCCTTACACGATTACCCCTTCCCTCTCTTATGTAATCGGTTATTCCCCCCTCTCTCTCTCTCTTTCTCTCTCTCTCTCTCTCTTGAAATTTTCACTTTCTACTCCCACACAACCACGTTTCTCTCGATCCAAACACTCTGAATTCCAGACCCTCATCCAGTACTCCCCTTTCTTCCTCAACGGATAACGCAGAAATCTGGAGGGCCTTTCCTCTTCCTATCATTGCAGCCAGGTTCGTGCTTTCAATTTTTTTATTTTTTTATTTTTTTATTTTTATAGTTTCTAATTTTATCAGTATGAATTTGATCTCAATTACTGTTCTCTCTTTTCGATTTGCGTTTTCGGGATTGTTCGGTGATTGGATCTGGTGCTAATTTCGTTATAGAACTAGTTTATACTGTTATATAATTGTGTTCTGCATCTGGATTTGGATCACGTACGTACAGATATGGGTACGTGCTGAATTACTGTGTTTGTTTCAATCTCTCTTATGGATCTTCTTTCAGAGATATGGACTAATTTGATGTAGGATTTCCTTCTGTTTGGTGGACGAAAAAATTGATGTAAGATTGAGAATTCGCATAATTCTTATTCGACCAATTAGTATTTTGGCCCAATTATACGAAATATAAGAAGATTGGATGTCAATTTATTATTTTTATAATATTTCGGTGAGGAAATAAAATATTGGTGAATCTTGCTTAGTTAGGTTGCTCTTTTTTACTATTTAGGTTGAGGATTTTGTTAACTTTAGACTTTTTATCTATGAATTTCTTTTTAATTTTTTGAAATTGTTGTTGATTTGATTCCTGCTAGAGATTTCGAATCTAATTATGCGTTATATGGGCTGGAATTTTTAGCTGTTATGTTGGATTGATGTTATCGTCTCTTGATTTGGTTTCTTATATAATTTCTTGTCGATTAGAGAATACCTTAAATTGCTTAATGGCATTCGATTTCGTTCCGTCGGCAATCCTCGTTGAAATAAATTAAATGATGATACCCCAGTTAAGAGCTAGGTGAAAACTCCTTTGTTGACACTTTAATTTTGTTTCATGTGTGTTGTTGTTTTAAACCATGTCAGAGTTGGGTTACTCTGTTACTTATCGTATTTTCCGTCTTTTTTCCCTTATTTTTGAATTATTGCGGAACATCGTTTTAGCTTTATAGTGACATGTTGAGTTTTTTTAATTCCTCTGCAGTAGGGAAGGCCATGTGAGCTGTTTGAAACAGGTTCTAGTTGTGGCTTTACAACTTTTATTAGCATTGCTGTTCATTTGGCTTCCTTAACATGGGTAAATGCAAGGGTTGTGGAAAATTAGGAAGAATGGTGCCAAGGGGTGGATCTGTTAGTGCTTATCTGTTTGCTCTTCTGCTATCTCCTGTTGTTTCTGTCTGGGATTGCGTTGTTCGTAAGATGAGGTACTCCTTCAGACCTGAGTGGGTGTAGTTGTCGGAATTACAACATTATATTAGTTTTCAATAAGGTAATTATTTGAATTTACTTAGTGCTATAGGAAAAAAAGAAGGAAACAAAGTTATAGGGTTATGTATACACTTTGGAGGAATTCTCTTTAAGTAAAGAAGTTGATTAAATCCAACTTAGTAGTTAGAGATTGTTAGTCTGATGGATAACGTGGCATGTAATAAAGCGCAACCTGTTGTGAGAAAAGTGAAAAAGAAGCAGGTGAAAGACGAGTTAGATCGTCAAAAACAGGCCGAGAAAAAGAAGAGGCGCCTGGAGAAAGCCCTGGCTACTTCCGCAGCCATCATTTCTGAACTCGAAAAGAAGAAGCAGAAAAAGAAAGAAGAACAGCAGAGGCTCGATGAAGAGGGTGCTGCAATTGCCGAAGCTGTTGCTCTGCATGTCCTGATTGGTGAAGACTCAGAAGAGTCGTGTGAGATTGTGCTAAACAAAGAAGAGGGATTTAACCCTTGGGATTGCTCTAGCAGCATTGATCTTTTCGTGGGTGGAAGGAGAACAGGCTTGCCTTGTCAGGATTCTTCCATGTGTTCACTTGAAGGGATTGGATGGGTCTCCAATGGTTACAGATCAGGATGCAAATGGGGTGGCTTGGGAAACGGTGAATGGTCATTTTCATCCGGGATCTATGAAAGGGATCTTCATGGGCCGTATCTCGACAAAGATGAATGGGAAACTACAGGGTTCTCTGCTGCTGGTCTCATTGCAGCACAGGCTGTTTCATCTCTTCAAATAGCAGAGGATGCGCATGAAGACACAATCGTGCTCAACGGAATGCTAAGACGGTAGATGGCGAGGTTGCAGTCGTTTTATCTAGTCGCTGAGGGAGCGTTGGTCATATTATCTTATGATGTTGTGTATATACTTTTCGTGAATGTGCTTTTGTGGTTTTGTTGTATACACACACACATATATATATATATATTGCTTCTGTTTGAACAATGTTTGTAGTAGTCTCTTCATGTTGATAGAGGCTGCTACTTTTTCTGGCGTTGATCTTGGCGACTTGAGACATCAGTTGACCCATCTTGGTATCTTGCCAATAATTTCCTTAATTAACAGACTTCTGACAGAATAATTTATATCTAATCCTTAATGCCTGGTTGTATCTTGAATTGCGCTAATTTTTCATTTGTAAATTTAAAGTTTTATTTATTTCACTGATTTGAATTTTGTTATAATAAAAAGTTCTTAGAAACAGTTAAATTTAATTTTTTTTGTTACAGTAAAAAATTTTCACATAAAGTTACATCTCAACTCAAATTAAAAATTTAAATTAATGAATTAAACGGTGTTAAGTATTTTTGTATCTATACTATGGTTAATGGAGAAGAAAAGAGATCTGCGGCTGTCCAACTTTCTGACATGCTTAGTTTGGTTTACCATATGCAGCTTTCTTTTATAGTATTTATGGGCAAGTCCCTTTGAAATTGAAACTCGGAAAAGGTTTTTACTAGTATAGTCAATAACGAAATACCAGATAATAATTAGTGTTATTATATACCTCAATTTCCAATTACTTAGCGGTCTTGAGTAATACCTTTTTATAATTAAGCTAAGCTTCGGCCACTAGAGGATCATTTGTGCTTATTTTAGAAAAAGTAATTTTATGATGAGGTATAATTCCGAACCATCGTTAATGGCGTATATTCTTTTAATTAGAAGGATCGACTTTCTTTAAGAAAAAAAAAAAATTATAACAATTTACTATAACTAAAAATCTTGCAATTCAAAATTGTAGTCTGTCGGAACATATATCATTTATCCTGCCACAATTCTCTATTTCAAATTAGGGTGGGCAAATTTGCTTGTTTCATATCATATTAGTATGAATGACACATGATTATATATACTTAAAGAGACCCAATATTTACTATTTACATACTCACATTTTACTGTTTTTTGTACAGTAACATTTCTGAAATTTCGTTTATGCCCCTTGTCCTTTGAGTGTGAATTGTCAATTTTGCTCTTTTTTGCTTCTCTTTTTCCCTTCTCTTTTTCCCTTCTCTGTGCATGACCTTTTGCGTCTTTTAATCTAGGATTGTTACGTGTCGACGTCTGGCTGTCCGAAAAAAAAAGTGGTGGGATCCACCACTGTGAAGTCGCTCTCTTCCCTCGCTGAACGCGCTTCTTTTGCGCGTGTTTTTCATGCGCGAATCACAGCTGTCGACTTTTTGATCGGATGGTTTTAAACCATTTCCGGTTTATTTTTTAAATTTTTATTATTTATTATAGTTATTTACTATTTTAAATTGATTTGGAGTTCAATTTTATCCGTTTTACCACCGTTTTGTGCTAAATTTTTATATTACTTAAATAAAAATACCATGAATAATACAATAAAATTAAATAAAAATACGTATACTAAAGGAAAGGAAATGTACACTGTTTACACACTCACAATTTAGTATTCATTGTGTAGTGACATTCCTAAAATTCCGCTTCTATCCCTTGTCTTTTGAGTGTGAATTGTCAATTTGACCATTTTTTTTTCTTTTCCCTTCCATGTGCATAGGCTTTTGCGTCTTTCGTTCTAAGATTGTCACGTGTCGACGCCCGACTAGCTAAAAGAAAAAGTGGCAGGGCCCACCACTGCAAAGCTACCCTCTTCCTCCCGTTGAACGTGCTTCTCTTGTATGTAACATTCCCAAAATTCTACTTATGTCCCTTGTCCTTTGAGTGTGAATTGTCAATTTTACTATTTTTTTTCCTTCTCTTTTGCCTTCCATGTGCATGGGCTTTTGCGTCTTTCATTCTAAGATTGCCACGTGTCGACGCTTGGCTGGCCGAAAGAAAAAGTGGTGGAACCCACCACTGCAAAGCTGCCCTCTTCCTCCCATTGAATGCGCTTCTCTTGTACGTGCTTTTCACGTGCGAATCAAAGTTGTCAAAATTTTTGATCGGACAGTTTCAAACAATTTCCGGTTTATTTGTTAATTTTTATTCTTTATTATAGTTATTTATTATTTTATATTGATTTAGAGTTCAATTTTGTCTATTTTACCACTGTATAAAATTTTTTAACTTTTTATATAATACAACAGTATTTTTCACAACAACACGCAAGCTTTTGGCTAATTTTTTTAACTAAAAACTCAGTAAAGAGGCTTTCCCAACTCCAATATGCTCTTTCTATCAAGCATGCTGCCTTCTCTTTAACGGTTATGTGGATGAATAAATGTGATCCTTACAAATCAAGACCAAAGTTATAAAAAAAACATTGCATACCCAAAACGACTGCGTAGAAGACTTTGGCCACTCGCCATAGGGAGGCTTACAAACAGGTTCAGATTCAAGCAATCATGATGCGAACAAAAAAATAGTAAGAACAATCTAAATTTTAAATTTCTTGGAGCATCCATGAACAGATTTCAGTTGTACAACAAATGAAAATTTTACATTGATACACAAATGAATAACAAAAGTCAATCGTGTTGCATGGTTACCGCTAGTTTGCATAACAAGCATGTTTCATGGACTGTATCCTCAAATGTCATGCCGCGACTGTGAATTTTGTCGCAATGGTGACGATGCATCTGATAGCTGATTTTGCCGAAGAGCATCCTCTTCCTGGTTCTCAATTGCTGAACTACTAGAAGGTCTAGCACCCGAAGTAATTAGGTTCTTGAACCAAGCTCCTTGGAATCTAGGGGAAGCGCTGCCTCTGTTCGAATTTCCAGAGGGCTCAGTAGAAGCCCCAACATTGTTAGTAACACCCAAAAGGAATCGATATGCCACTTTGCTCACTTGCACAATCTCCGTCTTGGCTTGTCTAAACTGCAAACACCAATAGAAACCAATACATCTTAACTGGACTAAGGCAGCGCTCAAACCCACAGATAGGGAGGCATACATGAAAACGAGACGGAAAATTGAAAATTTGGTCATATAATATCCATGTCTGCAAGCAAAAAAGTGGCCTTGTGGCAATTACAATCTCCAGTAATACTTTTACGTCAGTAGATGTAGAATGCACAGGCATCCACTATCCTTAAAAAACTGGTGAAATTAACTATTCCTAAAAACAGTAAATCATATTAAGATAGGACCTCTAGAAATTAAAGATGTTAACCCTTATACAAGCATATGACAGATTGACGTTGGAGAGATAACTCAAGAAGATAAGAATTTAGAACATTGGCTTTTTGCAAGAGAGCCACTTACCCGTAATGCTGTGTTTCCTGCTACTTCCATGGCAGTATCACCAGCATGAGCAAAACGATTGACCCAACCTGTTATAAACAAACAAGTTTATGATATGATCACTGGGTGTTTTAAAAATTCAATTTGAAATTAAAGAAAGGCAATGGTGACACAAACACATAGGCCATAAACTCACTAACTAAACTAAATATAGTAGAAAAGTTATCGTGATGTTCTCTGCAACTACATATGCCTACAATAGCGAAGTCCTGTCCTGTGCATCTAAAAAGCTCGTGGTGTTCTTTTATATGTATGTGTATATATATATATATATATAAAATATATACATGTCAATATAATTTCCAAAGGGGAATATCCCAGAAATCCAGTGAAATTATTCTTAAGGTACATAATTCTGTTGTCGTGTAAATTGGTCATGATGACTAACTGACCAACTTTTGAAATCCAATAACCATGTAAGAAATGCAGTTCTGTCAGCATGGTGATAAATGTATTAAATATGATGCATAATGGTATAGGACAAGTTGCACATACGTTACTCACACCCTACATAATTATAATGTGCACATGCACATGGCAATGACCACACATGAAAACTGTAAAATGGCAAAACACGACAATCATATATGCTTTGATAATTCCAGTTCCAGACACCAAAGTTCAGGTTGACATCAAAAAAATCTTCAGCACTCAATGAGTAAATGTTAGCAGCAAAGTTTGAGAATAGCTGGTAAAAAATAAAATCTTGTACAAGTTACCTGGTAGCTTTGGCACACCAAGCCTTTCACAGAACACATCACAGAAGTGATTGCAGTTTTTCGATAACAAATCATATGAGTTTCCAGGCCACTCTCTGCTAAGCTCCCTCAAGATCTGATTTGCCTTCAAGTTTGTGCAGTTTGTCGTACCAAGGACAATAGATTCACGATACGTGTACATCGGATTCTTTCCAGATGGGCAGCTAAAAACTCCGGTTCCTTGTTCACAGAACCCAAACGACCATTCATCCTCTCCATAAACCTGTCATGTAGCATAAATTATCTAATTTACTCTATTTACACTTCTCTTCGCCACAACAAATAGATGAAACACAATACAACTTAAAAATATGTTTTATTCTTTAGTTCATAAACAATCAGAAGGAATTAGCATACAGAAAACCACTGAAATAATTTAAAGCAAAAATGACTCAAGCATGAAGGGAAATATGAAAATGTTAATAAATAACAAAATCATAGCCAAACTCTCACTATACACACTAATCTAATAAGAAAAAAAGATTCCATACAAATTAGATCACAAAATTTTTCTCTTTCGTCAAACTGAAGAACCCATTAGATATAAAATTCATTCTGATGGGCACCTCAAAAGATATAACAAAAATGCACATGAGAATAACACAAACTAATTTATCCATAAACCAATATTAAGATCCTAGAAGATATCTAAACCGCAGCATCAGAATCTCTATCCATTAATATAGTGAAAAAAAAAAAAAAACAGGTTAGTAAATTACATAAGCCCTAGGTAATCAACCTGAGTCAAAATCTTAAGTCACCCCTAAAAACAATCAATATCCGCAACAAACTTCAGACATGTTTAAATAGCTACAAAGTCAAATGCCCAACCACCCGAAAACCAAAACCCTAGATCTCTGAATCCAAAATCATAGCTCCCAATAAATAAACCACCAAGAATTCACATTTACCCAGAGATTCACATACACATGAATGAAAAAGGCGTAGAGAATAGAGACGAAAGGGAAACCTGTACGGCGCTGTGGAAAATACCGCCGAGGCCAATACCGTCCTTGAAGATCTTGTTGATCTGAAGAATGGTGTTGTTCGTCTTCTCCGATCCGCTATTCGTCACGTCGTATATATGCAGTTTCACCTCCGCCATTTTGCTTGTCCGAAAACCCTAACCCTGTCTTTCTCTCTCTAGAATTCAAATCTGAAAACCCTAATCTTCCAAACTCTTGGATTCAATTGGTTTCAAAAATTTCCGCCACTCTATTTCTTTCCACTTCTCTGCTTTTTCACCTTTCGCGCTCTCTCTCTTTCTCTCACCTCGTTTTCTCTCTCTAGAATTGCAAGTTTTCGAAATCCTCGTCTCGAAATTCTAAAATTTCCCAGACATTTTTGTCTGGAATTATTGAATTTAAACGGTTAGTGCAAGAAGAGTTATTTTCCAGAATCAGAAAATCAGAAACTGGAGAGCGAATCCATATTTGACCCATTTTCTGTTTTTTCACACTTTTTTTTAAGGATAATGATTAATTTAGTTACCAAATTACCCTTGAGTTTTGGTGAAATTACGGTGACTGACGGTTATTTTAACAACTACTTTTTGACGGTGGGTCTGATTGGGTCTGATTTTTGAGTCCCGCCGGCGCCCAGTGATTAGTCGGAGTACGATAAGTGGGCCCACGTGGACATGCAACCGCAATTATTGTCGGCTAAGATACCGACACCTTTTTTCAATTGGATAATGCCCTCCCAAATTGTGTCCTCGTCGTTCATCATTTGAGGTTCCAAAAGCCCGTAAACCCAACGATTAGTTTTCATTTGGGCCTGTGAGCCCATAAAAACGTGATTTTTTTTATAAAAAAAATACTTTTGAATTTTGAACTTACTCTCGATTAATATCTTTTTTAGTTAAATAATTATATTGTCAAAGTGGTATTACTAAAAAATAAATGGTAAAAATTCAAACTCATTTTAAACTCAGCAATTTTCTCATTTTTTTTTTAAAAAAAAATAGACAAATACCTCTTAAAATGCACGAGTCTTATTTTTACCTTTGCTCTTGATTAATATTATTTAATTAAAGAACTATACTAGTTAAAAGGGTATTAATTAATAGTAAATAGTAAAAATCTTAGAACAATGCATTGAATTTACTAATTTTCTCAATTTCTTTTTTTAAATTGATCCTTAAAATTCAATGGAAAATTAATATGGAATCTTTTTATTGCCTCCTTTTTTCATTAATTTGTTTAAATTGTTCTATTTAAAAAAGGGTGTTATCTCAATAGTCATAAATGGACATAGATTATTAAGACAAGGACATGCCAAATTTTATGAGTTATGATTTGTGTAATCACATTTAGTATTAGGATTCTTACCACTTTTAATTGACATGACTAATTCTTGTGGCCTTCCTCATTTTTCTTTAGAAAAATTAAAAGTTTTGACAACCCTCGAATTTTTTTATTCTTAAATTTAATACTTTTGGTAAGTTCGATTCCTGGCACTAAAAATACTAATAGATCTTTAAATCAAACAAAAATAAAAGTTCAGTAACTAAAACTATTACAAAGCCAAAGAGTTGGAGACTAACAACACCAAAAACTTAAAAATAAAATCCAAAACGAAAGCCGGGAGAGGTTGGAACTGTTCATATTTCTAAACCTGGGAGTGTAATATTTCCAGATATTTCTGCAAAGCGAATTTGAAAATTCTTTTACCTGACAAAGAAAACGAATTTATAGGTTCATTTTAATTGGCAATAAGTCAGAGCTAGTAATGCAAGGGGATATAGACATTCATATAAGGAGACTACACAACATTACACATATATTGGTGACACCCCTCTAATGGTGGAGAGTGTCTAGACAACTCTGCTCCTATGTTCTCTCATTAAGGATGAAAATATCAATATTTACAGAAATATCTGTACTTAAATTTTATAGAAATATCGAAATCAGTGGAAATTAAAGTAAAAAACATAAATTTATACTAAAACACTCTATTTTCAAATGAGACTTTAAAAATCTTAAAATAAATAATAATGAATTAATTAGATAAAACTCTCAATCAAAATATCAATTATTTGATAAATATGCAAGGTAAAGTGTGATCATAATAACATAAATACTGAGCACACGTTCACAAATTAAGTAAAATAGCTTAAAGTCAACATAATACATATGCTATACATATGTGGTTTGATACATGATGATAGATTATCAACACCAAAAGGAGCTTCTAGGAGGTTGGAAGGTATTTTGTACACATTAGTTTAAACTTGTAATGATACCAAAACATGGAGTTTGAATAGTTCCTTATATAATTTTGGACATGCCATATTTTTTAGATTTTTTAGATTTTTAAAAAAAAAATAAAATAAAAATATAATATAAAGTTGCGAAAATTTCTATGGAAATTTACCGATATTTTCACGAAATTTCTGTAAAATTTCCATGATATTCAGTCATTTAACATTACATTTTATTCAGAAATGAAAATTTCTGTGACAATATCGATATTTACGAAAATATATGTGGAAATTTCAAGATATTATGCGGAAAAGATACTACATCCCTATTTTTATATCAGTACTTCCAAAATATGAAAAGTTCCGTGAAAATATCAATATTTTCATCCTTGTCTGTCATCCTAACATTATGTGCTCGTTTAATTAATGTATTTAAACTTATTATTCTAATTCTACTATAATATTTTTTTCTCATAAGTTTTTTTTTTTAAAAAATTCTTGTCAATGTTTCTCTCACAAAGTTCCCATCAATAAATGAAAATTACTAACTTAAACGCATGAATTATACAAGCTCTATACATAAAATCATATTGGAATTGCTTCAACAAAGCAAATGGAGGATATTCCATTCGACCGAAATTGGCCTAATGTTTCCAGCTAGGGTTGGGACCACCCACAGCTAATCTGCACTTTAGCAAACTGCAATCATTTCCATCAAAATTTGTAGTTTACTGCTCCAGCCACTAAAAAGAAAAGGAAAAGTTTCTGATAGAATGTTAAAAAAAAAAAAAAAAAAAAAAAAAAAAAAAAACGGAAAATTTTTAAATTTTTTTAAAAAGTTAAAAAAAAAAAAAAAAAAAAAAAAAAAAAAGATCACGTATAGTTTTGAACTGTTATATTTTTATCAAGTTTATAGTGTGATATAATTTGGAAGTAAGTCAAAATATATATTTTTTTATACCCTATCACGTAATTTTCAAAAAAAAAAAAAAAAAGGTTTATGTTCACCTTAAATGCCGTGGGGTACTTGCTGTCCATTCCACTTTAGTAGTTTATTATTGAGATTCAATCGATACGAGCTTTAAAAATAAAATATGTCCTATTCAAACAAATTTAGAAGTCAATATCTAGGCTTAGTTTTTTCTATAATTATAGGTTTGTCTATGATACTTCATTCCCAAAATGCAACAAGCTAGGTTAGTAGGTTTGTTCATTTTGCTGTGTTCAATATACAATTCCAATCGCTTCAAAGCTTTGCTCAAAATTGATGAAAACATCAGTCCATTATTCTGGTCATATGTCCCGACAAAAGACAGTTATATAATTAGAAATTATGTGAGCTTCTGATGAAACAAAATAACAACCAAAATAAAACTTGGTACCAGTCCGGTAAATTTTGGATCATGGAGTCTAATACATACAAGAGAGAGAACCACATACAAAAATACAGATACAATATTTAGGCACTGAACAAATAGCCTATATAGTAAAGAAGCCCATTTATTATGTTCCATAGAAATTTGTAATATAGAAGTATGTATTGCAATCAAAAAGAAAAATGGTGAAACAAAGGAATAAAACTTTAGGTTAAATATTATACTGATACCTCTAATATTTGTTGCTCAGCAAGATATGTGATAGATGGATTGGATATTGGAGCATATGAGAATAGAGTTATCTGCCATCATTGGTCAGCAATTGGGAAAATACTTGGCTGGAATTGATTTCTAAACTGCCATTACCATTAGTTTCCTCTGTTCTAGTGTTGCTGTGAGGAGACTCATGATCAGTTCTAGTTGATGGAAGAAGCTCATGTGAATCAGCATTGGCATCTTCTTCCCTTTCTCTGCTTCTTGGTTCAGCTTCTTGAAGCTGAAGAGCATGTTCCAAATTCCACAACACATCACCCATGGTTGGCCTATCAACACCATACTCGGCCAAACATTTCTCAGCCGTTTCTCCGAATTTCTTCAAAGAGCTCGGTTTAATCTGTCCAACAAGGCGGCGATCGATGATCCTCTCGAGCATGCCTTTCTTTTGCCATTGAAGTGCCCACTCAGCCAAATTCACCTGTTCTCTTGCGAGTAACGGATCAACGGCCGGTCTAGCACAGAGAACTTCTAAAAGGACAACCCCGAATGAGTAAACATCTGACTTGTCTGTCAGTTGCTGCCTGCGGAAGTACTCAGGATCAAGATAGCCAAAACTGCCTTTGACGCCAGTGCTTACATGCGTTTCATTCAGACATGGACCAGATCTTGAGAGGCCGAAATCAGCCACCTTTGCCACGTAGGTTTCGTCCAGCAAAATGTTGGTCGATTTGATGTCACGGTGGATGATTCCCTGTGCTGAACGCCTCTTGCTGAACCAATGCATATTTCAAGCCGTTTCTTCCATGACAAAGGTGGAAGACCCGAGCCATACAAGTGATTTCTCAAAGTTCCCTTTTCCATGTACTCATAAACTAGTATCATTTCCGCTTGTTCTTCGCAGTATCCAACAAGTGAAACGAGATGGAGGTGGCGAATTTTTGACAAAACTGTTATCTCGGCTTGGAACTCGGGAAGGCCCTGCCTAGATCCTGGCATACCTCTCTTCACCGCTACTTTTGTGTTGTCCCTAAGAGCCCCTTTGTACACAATACCAAATCCACCAGAGCCTATAATCCGACTTTTGTCAAAATTGTTTGTCGCCAAAAGTATATCAGCGAAAGGAATTCTCAGACCAAGATATCCATTTGGAGATGCAAGTGTGGTTCTCTCAGACATTCTACTAAGTGAACTCCCTCCAAACACTCGTAAAGGCGTCCAACCCACGCTTTCTGCAGGCCTCCGTTTCGGCTTCCTCTTCTTTCGTCTCAAACAGCATAGGATCCCAATTACTGCCAAACACAGGAGAACAACACCTCCAACAATTGAGCCCACCAAAATCCAAACAGTCTTCTTATTGTCTCCACCATCCCCCGGTCGCGAACCGTCAACATTCACCATCCTCATGATCTCTGCGCCATTAAGAATGGCGTTAATCCTCGAAGGAGGACTAAGATCAGAAGGACCAACACTGATTTGCATAAACCCCGAATCATCCGAATCGACGATGAAATCGATATAAATCGGAGATGCAAGCACATGAACCGTAAGAACCGACAAATCAAGATCCCTATAGGCGTAATAACTATTGATGTACACATTAAAGTAGAGTAAATTAAGCCCAGGGCTAACTATATCACAAAAATGCAAACGAACCAAGTGTCTAACACCTCCAGAACCTACTGGAAACTTCCACGTGACATTGAATCTCGCGTCCAAAATAAAATTAGTCTTGTTCATTTCCTGAGCCGTCATGTAAACATTATCAGGAGCAATCTCCCTACTCGCACCTCCTTCCTGATAATTTGGAATATCAGTGCTAATTGCAGGCTTAGCAGAAGATTCTAGAACAAGATATTCCTTATCAGGAAGCCAAGTCCTCCACAGAGTGTCATTAAAAGGCGTCAATTTTGAGCCTCCGACATTAATCCTATGAACAGTCTCGAAAACCTGTGAAGACAGATTCTTGTGCTCCTCAACTCCCTCGGAGCTAACAAATTTAGCACCGTAATCGACAATAAAGTCGTCGGGAGCAGAGAAAACTTCGATTCCATTAACGTAAGCAAAGCCAGGATCACCGACAGGAGTGAACAAAATCTCAAGCTTGTCTTTATTTACTTTCAATATGTACTCTCTGACCAGAATGTCTGAATCTCTAACGTTGAAAACATTTCTCAAAACCAAATTCCCATCAACAGAAACCGTGAAATTCGCAGACTTTAAGGAGAAATCTGGAGCAACAAAAGGAGAGAAGTGGAAACGTACTATGTGAGTGCCGTTTTTCCGGATGCGGAAGGTGTAAAGCGACGCCGTTTTGAAGACTCTGGCCGTGCTGTAGAGAGCCGACGAGTTCGGCGGCGGGTTCCGGTTCTTGAGCTGCACGGAGGACGGGTCCGAGGAGAGAAAAGCCGAACCGGGTTTGGACGAGTCGCCGAGGAAGACCCGGTTGAAGAGAGTTGCGTTGGAGGGGGAGCCACAGTTGAGGAGGTAGTTGTCCGAGGGAGTGAAGGAGGCTTCAACGATGGAATTCAGGAGGAGAGAGAAAGTAGAAAGAAGAGAGAGAGAGTGGAGGTTCATAATTATCTTTTTCTTCTTCTTCTTCTTCTCCATTGACGAAGTTCCAAGATCAGGAAGAGCTCGTTTACTTGGAACTGTCACTTTTGGAGTTTGACTTGTTGTGTGAAATATTTGGAAAAGTCGACTTCTTTTAGTGGGTGCGTCTTTAACGAAAGGTTTTAGGAGTGAGAGATGAGATTTATGGTGGAAGAAGAAATGTTGATAAGATGGACAAATATTTTAGAGTTGATTTCGTTTTCATACTGTTTTTAGTCACTGACCGACTGGAGCACATTGTATATGGTCATTGTGATCTTAATATTTTTGTTTGTTCCAAAGTCCATAAAAGTCTTTAAAGATGAAACAATGAACCTACTAATTTCTATACACTTGCTAAGGTTTCAATTCTTCAGTAAAATATGAAAAAGAAATACTTTATTGGACATAGTTCTGAAATTTAGTAGTGGGTTCGATTGGTTATCGGGATAATTTTTTTTGAAAATTATGTTATCACTCAGTCAATATTAGTGCATATCTTTTTAATTTGAAAGACAATTATCTTAAAAATATTGTCATAATTTTTCGATTTAATATGATTGTGATTTAATTTGACAATTTAAGCCCGTTCATTTCATCGATTCAAGTTTTGTTATAGTAAAAAGTTTTAAAAAACAGTCACATCTAACATTTTTACTACAGTAAAAAGTTGTCATATAAAGTCACATCTAAATTCGAATTAACGAACTAAACGGCCCTAAAATTGTGTCCAGTAATGAAATTTTTTCGTACCTATCACATAATTCTCTGAGCTTTAATTGGTTAGAGTTGGTCTTTTCATTTCTGTCGGTTTTGATAAGCAGGGGAACAAGGTAGTGGATGAGCCATTAAATGGTTGTTAAAGAGAGCGAGTTTCATATGTGCAATATTGAGCATGGCAAATTTGACTTATTGGAACAACACCACAAGGTGCCGATTTATACTTATTAGTTTTGGTGTATTGAGTAATGCTGTAGTTCATGGCTGTCGACAATTAAGAGCAAGTTGGAGAACCAGAAACGCACCGTGTATGCAAACGTTTCTTTCCTATCATCTTCTACTACCCTCGTTTGTACCAAAACGTTTCTTTTTTTAATGCAATTTAAAGCTTATCCTTAAAAGAAATAAAAACTGTATTTTATTGAGAGGAAAATGAATATTACACTTGTAAATATGATTAAAAAAAATAATAAATTGTCTATTTTTGTTTTAATTTTTACATAATAGTGTCAAAATTATAAGTTCATAACAACCATGTTTCTGAAATGGGCAAGGAAATTCATAGTGTAATTATTCTTATCTAGTTAGAGTTTACACTGCAGCTTTTCTTCTTCTAATCCTTTACAAGCGCCTGACTTTAATTTTTGGCAATACGAATTTATTGATTCTTGAAGCAAAGATTAAGAACCAGTCCAATCCATTCTTTACTCCAAATTAAGCGATAAAACCAATTAATAAATTTGTTTCAACTTCCAACAACCGAATCTCGTATGGAATAATATAGCTTAATAATTAAAAAAAGAAAAATAATTATTGCGTGCCAGGCGAGTGCTAAGTTTTGAGTGCGCTCCAGCAATCCAGCACAACCTTTCTTCTTTTATTTTTATTTTTTGCTGAAATGGCACACACAAATATGACAGTAAGAAATAAGTCCGAACCCGAATAACTCATCTGACCCGACCCGATTCAAAAGTATAGATTTTTTTTTTTAAATTTAAAAAAAAATCGGATTCAAATAGTCCCAACCCGCACTGTGTGGGTTGGGGGGCGGGACGGGCATTTTGAACCCGCTTTGCCCCGACCCAACCTAATTTAAGTGTGTAACCTTAAATCCTTAAATCTATTTTGCTGGACTATCTCTATATGAACTGTTTATTTGACGTATTGTTAATTTTATTTATGAACTTTATTGACTGTTAAGAAGTATGTTGATGTTATGTTAATGCTTATGGATTGTTTATGGATTTTATACTTTTGGACTGTTAAAAGAGGTATGAAGTCGTAAATTAAAATTAGTTTTCACCAACCCGAGTAACCCGAGCCTACTCGAGGTCACCCGACAGGTTGCAGGCTTGTGGGCTTAAGAGAGTGTTGCGGCCTAAAATTTTTTCAACCCGCACTGAGCGAGTCGACTCAATTTTTCAGTTCAACCCGACCCTACCCGGCCGAATTACACCCCTACACACAAATCACGTATTTTCGTTCAAATATATATATATATATATATATATATATTTCCCCTTTCTTTCTCAGAGAAAGAGACGCTTTGGTTCCAAAATGAAGGGCTCAGTGACAAAGATTCACTAAAGGTAAGGTCCAAAGTTGTAACTTTCTCTGGACAAGAACACCTAAAAAAAACAAAAACAAAAAGATGCGTCTAAACTTTTGTTAGTGACGACAATTATCCTATTAAGATTGATATGGACCTCATTTCTCATGTGATAAAAAGCTTCTAGGTCCATCGCCGTTTCGGCGGTGATTGTGGGCCGATCTTTTTGTTGAAAATATTTTATACATGGTGGAAGGTGCGTGTCATTTTCATGAATTATGATTATTATTTTTTTCTTGGAAAAAAAGGAAGAAAATCTTACGCAATCAGAATATCATCTTGACGTATTCCTCTAATTTTATCTCAAAGATGAAAACAAATAGGTGGAATGGCATTTAAGGCTTATTTGACAGGAAAGCCCAAAAGAGAGAAAATTTGAAGGATTGAGAAATAATAGTTCTTTATGAGAGAAGTTGATCAAGAATGAGCTCTAAAAGTTTTGAAATCTAGTTACTCACAAGCACAATTTTTATATGAAAATTAAGAGTAATTTTTTTTTTTTTTTATAAAAACAAATATGTTTGAAATCCAACCCTTTAAAAGTGGAATTCACCTGAAAAAGAGAGAGAGTTAAGGTCTCTTATTTTATTTTTATCTTAAGGTATTGAATATAATCCAACATACTAATATAAGACATGACATGACACGGTACATATTTAGTATACTATAACACATTTACGAGGGAAGTTGATCAAGAACGAGCTCTAAAAGTTTTGAACTCTAGTTACTCACAAGTACAATTTTGATATGAAAATTAAGTGTAAATTTTTTTATAAAAACAAATATGTTTGAAATCCAACCCTTTACAAGTGGAATTCACTTGAAAAATGGAGAGAATTGAGGTATCTTATTTTATTTTTATCTTAAGGTATTAAATATAGTCTAACCTATTAATATAAGACATGACATGACACGATACATATTTAGTACACTATAACACGATATTTTTATGCTTTTTGTTTAATGAGTCGTGCTAGGTTTAAGTTTTGAGCACATTAGCCTAAACATGTTTCAGTATTAAGAGTAGCACAATTCTACTCAACCTACATGTATGAGGCAACACAACAAGTCGGCCACAAACACGACATATTTGGCACGTAAAGCATACGTATTTTGTTCCATTTATTTTTATTTTTGATATACAAAAGAAATTTATAATACGAATACGGGAAAATTATTACTTAAACTTGTTCCCTTAATAATTGTTGCAAATGACTTTAAATAACAATAAAAAAATATGTATTCACAACCATGTAATAGACAAGAGCCAAATATGTTCTTATCATTCTTATTCTTATTGTTATTATTATCCCTATTTATTATTATTATTATTGTTGTTATTATTTAGTGTATTACATTTTGAGAGCAATTATTCAATAATGTTTGAACATTCTAGTGGTCTTTTCATGAAGAAGAAAAAGAGTGTTTTACCGTAAAATATTGTACTTGCATGGGCCCATGTACGTTTTTATAGGTGAATTTGAAATAAAAATAAAAATATGCGCATCAAGTAGTTTTTAATACAAATCTAGTTGAAAACAGAGATTGACTATCACTAATTTATTTTTTTAAGTTTTATTGTAATACTTTTTTTATTTTTTATTTTTAAACTTTATAGTTGTTGCTCGATAAAAAAGGAAAGAAAAAACTTATCTAGTGATCAATAAATCCGCTATCACTGTTTCACTTAAAAAAACAGGATGTTCATTATCACTTTGCTTCTGGTTTAAATGTTGATCTAAACTTTTTAATTTAAATAGAAAATTTTAAATTGTATAGTTTAAATTGTAGTTTAAATTGATATTTAGATGTGCAATTAAAATTTTAATAAGAATAGGAAATAAAATTTAAATTTGTGTTTAGTAGATGTGAAAAGTAAGAGAGTGGACACTTTGTTACTATTTAAATATAGTTTAAACGATTGAATTTTAGAGAGAGTTAAACTTTAAATTAGACAATTTAATTCAGTTCAAATAAAAAATATAATTTAAACTACTTATTTATTTAACATGAATTTAAACTGTGTTCATTATTTAAATTGAGTTGAGCTAAACAAAACGAGTTCAAGGGAAAAAAAAAAAAGGCGCGCACACAGTTTCCTTTCTAACTGTGCCTGAAACGACGTCGTCCACGAAAGTCTTCCTTCTCCTCCTCGTTGGGTTGGTCATTCAATAAAAACGCAGTCACAAAACAAGACGCCATTTTTTCGCCTCAATAATCAATCTCTCACGACGAACCTCATTCGATTCACCGTGACCTCTTCAACTCGCTTATCGAAGCATCAATTTGTAAGTATTAATTGCTAGTTTCCGTAACTCTTTTTAACTTTTAGGCTTTTCAAAAAAAATTTAGGGTTTTTCTCTATCCACTCACCGGCAATCGCTTTTCTTATTTCGCTTTTCCGATATCCAAATTGGCCCATAATTATCTTATTTCTGTTTCCGTTATATTATTTGTTCCTTTTCAAAGTTAGATCTTTTATTTACTTTTATTGTTGTTGTTGTTGTTTTTTTGGTTCACATGCAGGTTAATGCGGATTTCGATGCTGTAATTTCCTCATAGGGCTTTTATTTGCTTTGTGGGCGGAACATTCAGTTTTTTTTTTTTTTTTTATCACGCTTGCTTTGCTGTCTCATGGTATGTTTGAGTTCTTGATGTGATTTGGAACATCTGAATTATGTAAAACTGATTTTATTTTATTTTATTTTTTGAAATTTTGGCTTATAAGGACCAGAAAAATAAAAGGGCCTTTGAACATCTATGTAATTTCGTATGCCCCATCAGATTTATGTTGTTATACGTATTTGTTTTTGTCACTGGCTTAATATGTGTTTTTAACATATATTGTTGTTAAGACTTATTTCAAAGACAAGTAATTTGACTGAGTGCAGGATCATAATGGTTTTAATGATGAAAAGCGTGAAAGCAGGCTTTACATTGGTAACCTTGACCTCAGAATAACAGAGTGAGTAAATCTAATTCTGTTTAGAATTAAGTTCTTTGTTTGCTGATGAGTTTCTGTTTCTCCCAGCTAATATAATCCGGTTGATTGGTGTTTCTTTCAGGGCTGCTCTTATTAAAATGTTTTCCCCGTTCGGGAAAATTGTATCCGAGGATTTTCTATGGCATACTCGTGGTCCAAAGCGCGGAGAACCCCGGGGTTTTGCTTTCGTCCAGTATAGCACCAAAGAGGTAAGTTGCTTGCAATCTTTTATTTTGTCTCTCTTGATTTTCAGGCAATTCCTGATCTCCACCATTAAAGTGAGCATGCAGGAAGCAAGACTGGCCAAGGAGAAAATGCACGGGAGGCTAGCTTGTGGTCGGCCATTGGTTGTCCGACTTGCCAGTGAGAAGTTTTTGGCTGAATCGGAGGGAAGTTCTCCCGCAGGAGTAGGCGAGGCAGGCAAAGCCAGTGGTGCTGGTAATAGCTTAGGACAGATGAGCCGGAGTGCAAGAATAGCTGCTATCAAGAACAAATTAAAGGCTTTGGAGGAAGAAGGCTCTAGTGCGAAGAAGCAGAAGAATGCAGAGAATTAATTATTAAAAAAAAAAAAATCTCTTCTTGCAGTGATAGTATTGACAGTAGTGGATTTCCATCTGCCAAAAGATAGTTACAAGCTCAGACAGTGAAGAGAAATTTGCAGGCTCCTGAAATATCTCCAGAATCAACTGTGATCTACTAGACTCAGTTTTGGGATTTTCTGATATAGTAAAATGACATTTGGAGATTCTTTTTCATATAGTTTTTGCTTTCAGATTGTTGACTTAATTCTCTCAATCCTGGCCTTTTGGAAAACTAATGTTGCACATGTACTGGCATTGGGGTTGTGGGTAGCACAAAACAATCATTGCCGTGGGCATCAATCTTTGTTGGTTAATTTCATAAATAATGGTACGGTTATGAGCATCAACTTGTTACACTGAGGCCCCTAAGAGTAAGGTTAAGGTCCTTAAGGACAAAAAATAAAACTTTCTACACTGGGTCACCATGCCATTTATTAAATTATAGGACATTTTGTCACTCGTGTGGTTGAAAATTAGCTGCATGGAATTATTAACATGTTTAAAAAGGTTTGTTGTACTTCTGTTTATGTCACATTTGTTCGAATGGCATATAGCCACTACTCAAGAACCCCGTCTAGGATGGCAGTGGGTTAGAGCGGAACTGGAGAGGAGAATGCTTCGTTGTCCCCATTCCTGTCCTCGGAAACCATTCTCATCCCCGCTAACGAGCAGCAGCGGGGACGGAGTCGGGAAATTATTGCTGGAGGAGCTTTCTCCATACCCAATGGTTATTATCGACAATAATTTCCACAAGTTAGAAACAAATGTTGAAATTCATACTAAATTTAGTCCAAATTCAATGTTTTCATAGAAGAATCAAATTTCAACACAATATGTATAGAAAAATAATGTTACAATTAAATATTTATATAATATTATGTAAATATGTAAAAAAATATTATATAAGAAAAAAACTCTATAATATATGTTTTTAAAAATTTATATAATATTTATTTTCTAAAAATATATTTAAGTCCCATTCATTTTATTTTACCAATTTAAATTTAAAATTTTAGTTTTGTTAAGTAAAAAGCTTTCAGAAATAATCACATCTAATTTTTTTATTACAGTAAAAAACTCTCACATAAAATCACATCTCAACTCAAATTAAAAATTCAAATTAGCGAACTAAATAAGTCTCTTAATATTAACCGTAATTCTAAATCTGTTTTTATATAATTTGTTTCAAAAAGACAATATATATTTATATATATATATATGGGTGGAGACCGGACACTGAACGGAGAGTGTTCCTTCAGTTTCTTGCTCGAGCCTGATTCGGAGTCACAAGTTGTTCCCATCCCTACCCCAAACTCCCTTAACAATGCTCCATCCTCTGAAAAAATGTCATCACTAACCCCAACTGTTTGGCAAGATTTTTATTTTTTATTTTTAAACAAAAGACCTATAATATAAAAAATTAGAAAAGAAAAGGAAAAAAAAACAAAGAAACATGTTTAATTTGTGGCGTTGAATCCATAGTTGACAAGAAAGAAATAGAACTTATTACCAAAAAAAAAAAAAGACTAGAAAGAGTTATTGCCAAAAATAGACTTCAGAGTAAATTACATGATTTGCATTTACACGTGTAAGATTCTCTTTTCTGATTCACATGCGTGTTCGCAATAAAACAAGGCAAACGCCAGCGAAGAAGTCAATTGCAAGTCTGCAACCACTGAGCCGGAGTCCGACCTGGGAACGGAGTGACACAAGCGTCAATGGAATCGAAGCTTCTCTTTCCACACTGCCATGGCCGTCATTCTCCATCGCTGGCGTTCCAATCTTCGCATCTCTCTTCCCGCCAAGATTCCATCGCCGGTTTCTTTCACAGCTCTTCAGTCACTAACAAAACTCAAATCTTTCCTTCTCTTCCTCGCATTCCTTCTTTAAGAATCGCTACAAACAAGAAAAAGAAGAACTTGGTTCATGGTTTAGCAGTCAGATCACAGTTTACTACCCCTATCATTGCTCCGCAGGATCAATGGGGTAATTGGACCACTCTCTTCGCAATTGGCGCTTTCGGTCTTTGGTAATTACTTCGCACGATTTAGTTCTGTTACTTTTCCTGGATTTTCTCAGCAAACAAACGGGGAGAATTCATACAATCTTATGTTGGCCTGTGGATTTAGCGCCACATATATGCAATTTCCAATCCCAAAAGAAAAATCTTTCTTTGTAGGAAAACATTTATCCCTTCATTTTTCATTCTTAATATGTAATTTCCGTTTCAAATGACTAAAAATCTCATGTCAAGAAAATGAAAGCATCATAAAGGCTCAATTCCGTGGATAATGAATGAATCTTTGGGTCTTTCTTTTGGTTTATTGGTATTCTGTATATTGTAGTTATGCCCCTTTCTTCTGTGGGATTGAAGGTCGGAGAAGAAGACCAAGGTTGGGGGTGCACTGAGTGGAGCATTGGTGAGCACTTTGGTAGGATTGGCAGCTAGTAATTTAGGGCTTATTTCATCTGAAGCTCCTGCATTTTCGATTGTCTTGGAGTATCTGCTCCCAGTGGCTGTTCCACTCTTGTTGTACAGAGCCGATGTGCGTCGCGTGATCAAATCAACCGGGGCCCTTCTCTTGGCTTTCTTACTGGGGTCAGGTAAACAACAACATCTAACTTTTTTACTACAGTAAAAAACTTTCACATAAAGTTACCTCTTAACTCGAATTAAAAATTCAAATCAGCGAACTAAACAGGCTCTTTATGTTTGGTTGATTATGCAAATGAGCAAGAAAATGGCCTGAGGGCCATGCTTTTTGTGCTTGGAAAGTAGCAAAAATGCCATAGCATAATCGTTTTTGATAGCCACAATCATGAAATCGCTTTCTATGTGGTAATGAAATGAAATGGATAGTAGAGCATGCATTTGTTAGTAATTATGATCAAACAGGAAATTTATATGGGATTTTAGTTTTGTTTTTGGAGTCTTTTAATATCCGATTTTTCTTTTGACAGTTGCCACTACAGTTGGTACAGTGTTGGCATATCTGATAGTGCCAATGGGATCACTCGGTCAAGATAGTTGGAAAATAGCAGCTGCGCTTATGGGAAGACATATTGGTGGAGGTAATTTGCTTTTATCATCTATGATGCACATTTTGCCTGTTTGTTTAGTTTCTTTTAAGCTTAATTTACTTGCGATGTATTTTCTTTATACTCCTTTTCTTTTCCCAAGATTTTTACTCGTTTTTCTTTATTGATGCATTTGTAGCTGTGAATTATGTTGCCATATCCAACGCTCTCGGTGTTCGGCCATCAGTTTTAACTGCTGGACTAGCTGCAGACAATGTCATTTGTGCAGTATATTTCACCACATTGTTTGCACTAGCTTCTAAAGTACCTCCTGAAGCTTTAACATCAAGTGATGGTGAGTCCGCTTCTATTTATTGTTAAACGCCTTCTTCTTTGTTTATTTATTTATTTTTTTCCTTTTCCCTCCTTTTACGGAGTGAGGAACCTTTTTTGGTAGTCATGTTAGCTCCCTTGTTCCCAGTAGATGCATTTATGATGTATGAAATCTTTTCCACCTTAGTTTTACCTTCTTTTGGAGAATTGACACTACCCTTTGGATTGTGATGGCATTTCAATTTTGAACAAGAGCTTCAACATTTTCCATAACTTCGCCTATTTTTTATGCCGCTAGCGTATAGAAAGGCATTATGTTGTATGTCCTATAACGATGAGGTCAAAACACAAAAGATGAATGCTACCACAATGCTAGCCCCTAATTGAAGCTCAAACTCTGGCAGGTGTTGCAGTGGACACAAAGTCTGAGCCTGGTGGCAACCTTCCCACTTTACAAACTGCTATAGCCCTTGCTGTGTCATTGGCTATCTGCAAGCTTGGCTCGTATCTCACAAAATATTTTGGAATTCAAGGAGGTAGCCTGCCTGCTGTAACGGCCATCGTTGTTATTCTATCGACTGCATTTCCAAAACAATTTGCATATCTTGCGCCATCTGGTGAGGCTATGGCTATGATTCTGATGCAGGTGAATCTTCTCTCTTATCCCTTTACTTTACTTCCTTATCCTGCTTTATTGTAGGTAAGGTTTTGCAAATTTGTGTCCATATACAAAGTTCAGTAAGTTTTAAACATTACTGGAACGTGGTTTCGCTTGATTATATCCTTTCATGAGAAGTTATGCATTTATCCTTACATGCATCCACCTATCAGAAAGAACTTGTCTTGGAAGCTCTATGCTTTTGACGTCATTAGAAATTCGGGCTTAGTTGAAGTAACATGTTTTAAGTGACTTGCTTTTGCAGTTGTTTTTCACGGTGGTAGGAGCAAGTGGAAACATCTGGAGTGTTATCTATACAGCACCTAGCATTTTCTTGTTTTCCTTTGTCCAGATTGCCGTTCATCTCGTGATTATCCTCGGATTGGGCAAGCTATTTCGCTTCGACTTAAAGTTGTTGCTTATAGCATCAAATGCGAATGTTGGGGGTCCTACAACCGCTTGTGGGATGGCCACAGCAAAAGAGTGGCATTCCATGATTATTCCCGGTATTCTTGCTGGCATTTTCGGCATTGCCATTGCAACTTTTCTTGGCATTGGATTTGGGCTGGCGGTACTGAAATACTTGTAGGGAAGTTTTCCACGTTTAATCCGCATAAATGAGCTAATCTTTAACGTATGTTGACTCCATTTCTTTGTACTCAAAGAAACAACACATTGTGGGGGAAGGAAATAGAGTAATTTGAAAGGAAACCACAGTGTACTTCCTGCTTGACAAAAACAGTTTTATAGACCAATGAAGACCTAAAATAATGTGGGCTGCCTCAGGTGAACCAGATTGTAACATTTTTTGTAAGTTTATTGATCTCATTGAGCTCTTAATAATATGTATAAACTTCTATGTGAGAGAAAACACTGTAACATTTTTTGTAAGTTTATTGAAGAAGTTCTATTTGTTTAGTAAATTATCCTATCCTTTTGTTTTTTCCCCATTACTAATTTATGTGTTATAAATCTACAGCGTGTTGATAATCATATGCATTTAGTTCAAGTCTCAGATAGATTTGTTGGGAATCGCTCTTTCTTTACTGGAAAAATCTAGCAATGCCTTTTCTTGATGCATCAAACAATAGGATTGGTTAATCCTTGATTATAAATTAAGACTAAGAGAAGCGCTTTCTATATATGAAGAACTGCACCAGTTTATCGTGTAATGTTTCTACCTTAAATAAATAATAATAAATGAAGAATAGCGTTTTCCCCTTGGTTGCTATTTAGCAACAGGAATCAAAACTATTATGATAACAGTATTGTTTTGGCAAAAACAATTTCGAGACATGAACAAGTAGTTGATCCGTCAACCTTTTCAATAACTTACTTGCTAGCTAGTCGGCAGGTAAAGCTACTTATGGTTGTTTTTTATGCGTCACAAGTTCATTACTCTTGTTTTTTCTGCTGTTCTAAGTAACTTTATCATAGAGAGAGAGAGAGAGAGAGAGAGAGAGAGAACATGATTGAGGTTTTGACCATCGCGTGTGAACCGCACGTGCTCAGCTTTCCAACACTCCCGTACAAATAAGAGCTAAGAAGTACGAACCAAGAACAAGAAGTGGAACGGCATTTGAGAAGAGAAGGAACAAGCCCAACAATCAATGGCTTCTTTCAGATTACTGTTACTCCCCACGACCCTCTCCCCTCTGACTCTGTCACCACCAATCCCCTCTCTACACGTGTCACGTCTCCGTTGTCGCCTTGCTCACCTCTCTTCTCCTCACCGCCGGGTGTCAAGTTCAAGACCAAAGCCGAAGCCGAAGCGTAATTTGGTCAGCTCACAGCTCAGGTATCCTATCATTGCTCCGGACGACCATTGGGGCACGTGGACCGCTCTGTTCTCCGCCGGTGCTTTTGGCCTCTGGTATCACCCCACTTTCCACTTCCTCAGTCCACTTAATACACATACACATACACACACATATATATATTATTTTTGTGTATAATTGAAAATAGAAAGGTTAATTAGATCAGGTAGGAGTTTCCTGCAATTTTATTTCTTTAGTCATGTACTGGCTGGTTTGTAGAAAGGACAGGAGACAACAAAATATGCTGTTTTTCTGGAGGTTGTTCTGTCGACAGACAACATTGGACTAAAGCCACTAAACACAATGGCTTTCGTTTTTTTTTTCTTTTTTTTTTTTTAATAAATGGAATAAGGTCTGAGAAGACCAAGATTGGGAGCATGGTGAGTGCTGCACTTGTGAGCACATTGGTTGGACTGGCAGCGAGTAATGCAGGCGTAATTCCTTACGAAGCGCCGGCATATTCCATTGTCTTGGAGTTCCTTCTGCCCTTAACTATTCCGTTGCTATTGTTCAGAGCCGACTTGCGTAACGTCCTTCGCTCAACTGGCACACTTCTCTTAGCCTTTTTGCTTGCATCAGGTAATTAATTCTTTGCGAATGAAGACTACGCTTTTTTAATTTCGATTTTTGTTCCGCAGTTTTAGTCTTTGAAATGCCTCTAGAACACGATCGATCATACTTGATTCCGAAGCAAAACACTAAGAGTTTTTCTTAAGAGACAAGTTAGTGAAATTGTACTCTTTGCATAAGAAACAAAAAGGTCAGACAAAGCAATAAGCAGCATAAGAAAAGATTTTTCCCTTTGCATTTTTATGGAGCCCTTTTTCAGACAAGCAATATTCTGGTTTTGCCGAATTCCGCTTAAATCTGGTTGTGATTCGAAGTTTTGTTAACTGTGCTGTGTATCGCAGTTGCAACTACAATTGGAACTTTAGTGGCGTTTCTCTTGGTCCCTATGCGTTCACTTGGTGCAGATAACTGGAAAATAGCTGCTGCCCTCATGGGAAGTTATATCGGTGGATGTGAGTATCAAGATCTATTGTTTGCATCTCACTTTTTTATATGGAGATTACACAATATCTAGTTTGATTATATTTTTTCTTTGGTTCATTGTTGTAGCTGTTAATTACGTTGCAATTTCAGAGGCCCTTGGTGTCTCTCCATCGGTTTTGGCAGCAGGAGTAGCAGCGGATAATGTTATTTCTGCAATATATTTCATAGTTTTATTCGCAATTGCCTCTAAAATACCTGCGGAAGATTCAACAAGAACTAACGGTATGTGTTCTATAGCCATCTTTCAATTTGCCTTTAACGTTTGCTCGTCTGTCTTTTGATGTCTTTCGCAATACTTGAAAACCCAATTGGCAGATGCTGCCATGGAAACGGAATTTGACTATGGTGGTGGTAAGCTTTCGGTGTTACAGATCGGTACAGCTGTTGCTACATCTTTTGTGATATGTAAAGCTGGTACATATCTCACAAACTTGAGTGGAATTCAAGGAGGCAGCCTTCCAGCAATAACTGCTATTGTTGTCGTTTTAGCCACACTTCTCCCGAGACATTTCGGTCGCCTTGCACCCGCTGGCGATGCGATTGCTCTCGTTCTGTTGCAGGTAAGCAGAAATATCTGGATTTTACTACCATTTCACCATATGGAAGCCGATTATCCTAGAAAAGGGTTCTGTTGCTTACAATTTAAAGGTATGACAGAGGGTAATCTTCTATTTTTAAAAGAAAGAAATGAAGATAAGCTGTAAAGCAGTACAAGTATCATAGAGGTACTGGTTTAGTACAACTTCCCAGTACAGCATGTTGTTGCAATTGGCTGGAATAATTTCTCAAGTCAACTTCTATCTACTATGCCCACCCCATCTCCCCACCCCAAAAAAAGGAAAAATTTTTTTTTTCTTAAGTCAACTGATGATCTTTTAATCATTTAAAACAGAAGGTCTAAATTGCCAATGCATTTCGCTTCCTTATATTTAAATAGACTTATTAGTTAACAATATCCCTCTAGATTAGCTCATGAAGTTTTGGACAAAACTTCTGATAAGTGATAATTAAAAAAGGTAGTTTTTTGGTGATTATATTGGATAGAGTGATGTGAATTATTCTAAACTTTAAGGGCTCATGTACTTCGCAGGGAAGAGAAAGGGAAAAAGAGTAGTTCCTTTTCCTACCCAAACATGTGTTTACTTACAAACTGAGCAATGACTATTTTGTAGTCCCCACACAGTATAGGGAATGAGGAAAAAGAATAATAATCTTATAATTACTTATATACTCTTAATAAATTCCCATATTATAAGCCAATGATTATTTCTGTGTAAAAGAATATTTTAGTAATTACATTGATAAGATTACTATACTCAAAGTTCAGTAGATACTAGAAAGGAAATTAGACCGTTTTCCATTACACTATCTAATAGTCAAGGAATCAATGATCCTCACTTTATTACTTTACCTTTCTTTTCAGTCGCAGTATCTTTCTCGTTACATTCTTTTATAGTGTGCGGTAAATGCTCCCTAAATGACGATTGCAACAGGTATTTTTTGCTGCTATTGGTGCAAGTGGGAGCATATGGAATGTGATTAGCACTGCACATGGTGTTTTCGTGTTTGCTCTAGTTCAAGTAACCATCCATCTTGCTTTAGTTCTTGGTTTGGGAAAGCTGTTTCGGTTGGACTTAAAGTTGTTGCTTTTGGCATCAAATGCCAATATTGGAGGCCCGACAACAGCATGTGGAATGGCCACTGCCAAAGGATGGGGGTCCTTGGTTGTCCCTGCAATCCTCGCAGGCATTTTTGGGGTTACCATTGCAACTTTTCTTGGCATCGGTTTCGGAATAACGGTTCTCAAACACTTGTAGAAATTGCAATTTCCATATCTTGTAACTCTTATCTTTCTGTAAAAAATTGTTTGAAGCCATGATCCAATTTTGTGCTTTCTCAAAAGACTTGATTCCATATTCTGATTTTTCTTTTATTGTCTGAACGTTTTCTATTGATGGCTGAGTTTACCTTATCAGCTGGTTAGCCAGTTGAGGCAAGAAGATTATGCAAATTAGGGGAAGATTTAGTATATTCCACGACATATTACTTTACTAACATCCATAATGTCAAAATTGATTCTGTACTACATGTACTAGAAACCTATTTAGCCTTTGGTCAACTGTACTTGCATTACCCTAAAACTATATTATCAAATGTTAATCATACATGCAAGTGATGCAAATATTATAGTATCCTTGCGTGAGCTTTTATGGTCATACGGATTTGCTCGCTATAATCATGACTAAATAATTGGAGATTAGAAGGGAAAAAAAAGGAAAAAAATGAAAGAAAGAAATTGGCGGCTAACGATGCGTCACATGACGTCATGAGCGTTGCTTCAACTTTAAAGTAAGAGTAATATTCAGAGACCTAACTTTTTAATACTAAATGACGTAACAATGAATTGTTATCTTTTCCATAGTGACAAATTTTTTAGATGTTAATTGACATAAAAATTTTATAAATACTCATCAATAAAAAAGTTGGGATTGTGAGCATTATTCTTAAAGCAATGATGAAAATTTGATCTTCCATTTATAAATTTGCACTGCCCCTATAATTATAGCATCCTGATATCATAACAATCTCATGCATTTTAACAATGATTATCGATTTATTTGTCAGAATAACATCATCGTTGGAATCCGATGGTTTCCGGATTTAGAGGATTTGTTTCCTCATTGAAACATTATTTTTAAGTTGGTATGCACCAACTTGAGAGGGTGTTCGATTTGTTAATTATTCTGATTGAATTTTAATTATTTGATGATTTGCACATTAGTTGTCAATTAGGTGTCATTAGTTTGATTGAAGGAAGTTTAGGAAAATTAGCCTAATTACGGGAAATTATCATTAATTTATACCTTATATTTTGAAAATAGTCCCTATTTATATCCGTGTGCAAAAATTATCAGAGAAGAAAAACAAACGAATAAAATATCTAATCCATGGACGTAGACGAATTGTCTAACCACCTAAAATCCCTTCTTTTTTTTTTTCTTATTTTCTAGAGTAATGTTCCTGTTGTTGTATTGCATATGACAATTGCATTGGAAATAATGAAAAAGCCATGCGTGTGCCGTTCTAAATACCTTCCGCTGTCTCATTATTCCTCTGGCAATATTTTACATATAATTTGGCTTGCAAAATGACCCCTATACATGTGAATTCATAGAAACTTGACATGAATAAATGATTCTTTCACCACAATCCATGGATTAATTTTTTGTTGGCTACATTTTGATTTGGTTCATGATGCCACTGCCAACCTATACCTTTTATCGTCATTGGTTGTCTGACATTCAACTAAAAAATGGTTCGACCTATTTTGGGCAACAAGGTTCACTATTTGATAGAACATGATTTTGTTTGGTCAATAGTATGTATCTTTATGACTAGTATTATAGAGTTTAAGCATTTTTGTGTTACTTTTTTGCTTGACAGGTACAAACATTCTTGTTTATACATTTACTGTCCTTTTCGTAAGAACTTTGAGTTGTATATATCTTCGTATAAGGGAGAAAATTACTGAAAATAACATAGAAAGATATCGGGATTTAAACATGTCTCTATTAATGAAAAAATACTTGAGGACACCAGTGATATTCAACACCACAATTAATAAAAGATGACTCTATCTGTTGGGTCCGTAATATGGAACACATATTTTATTAATATGTGGTGTTGAACACCGCTTATACCCTTAGAATTATTTCTTTTTATATGGCACAGAGAAAAACATTGAATTGAAGATGAAAATGACTCCAGTTATTTTTGTCATAGGATCACGGAAAATGTAAATTTGGCATCATGGATGCGACTTGTATTCGTCAAAGGTCCTCTTGGAATTGTTTCGTAAATGGAACTATATCCTTTTTACTTGCATTTAATGTTTTTCAATATCAAACAACAGGCAGAACAAATGTTTCCCTGGCAACCGAAAAGAAAGAGAGACTATTTGAAGTATTCCAATTCATTGAATTTGGCAGGTCAGGAGCAGGGTTAAGAAGCTCAGCAATATTGCTAGGCCAAGTTGGTAATATTTTTCTAGCCTTTCTCTTCTTTACCGTGACAAGAGGATCTTAAAGTTTGCAGGTCATTGGCCACACTTCAGAATTAAGCATTCATTTTCCAATCCAGGACAAACCAAATTTCAGAAGTTAAAGAATTAGAATTCTGCAAGCAAAAAAAAAAATCTGCGTTATTTGGCAACTTAAAGCTCCATTTGTTAATTTCGAAAGCTGTAAACACAAATTAGTTATGGTGGAGTGCAGATGTTGAAATGGGACAAGAATTGGCATAGCAAATGTGGCTGGAGAAGTGACATTGATCTCTGGAGGGAACAAGCTGAGGCAAGAAGATTATGTGAATTAAGAAAAGATTTATATGTTTGTTTCATAAATTTGAATCATTGGTTTGAGAGAAAATAATGTAGTAAAAATGTTTGAACTGTGATTAAAACTGTGAATCAAACATCCTGTTAGTATGTTCCAAGATTTATTAGTGTACTAACATAACAGTGTTTGATCTGTACTACATGTACTAAATACCTATTTAACCTTTGGTCAACTGTACTGCATTACCCAAAACAATATTGTCAATCATACATGCAACTGGTATAGTATCCTTGCGTGAGCTTTTATGGTCATACAGATCTGAAAGCTATAATCATGACTAAATAATTGGAGATTACGAGGCAATAGAAAAAAAAAAATTGGAGATCACAAGGGAAAAATATAAAAAAGAGAAAAAAAAAAAAAGAGAAATCGGTGGCAACAATGCGTCACATGACGAACCCTAACATTGTTTCAACTCCAAAGCAATTAATAGTTATGTTTAAGCATCCCACCCTTTTTGTACTAACTGCCGTGATAATGAACTGTTATATTTTCCTTATAATGCATTTTTTTTTACATTAATCGACGTGATTATTTGAAAAATACTTACTAATAAAAAAATAACAACTCATATTCTATCTTAGATGGTATTAAAAAGTTGAGATTGTGAAACAATATTCTCAAGGCAATTCATTGAATATTCAATCCTGGATTATCACTTTGCACTGCCCTAAAAATTATAGCATCCTGATCTCAGTACATTCCTTTTTTTTCTTTTTAACTCTGATTATCGATTATTTGTCAGAATAACATCATCAAATGTCAGTGTCATACTCATATTTGAAGCCGGAAAAGAGGAATATTACAAATTCCATTAGCGTGATGAAACCGACTCTTCTATATATAAGACGTAATACATGTCTCATTCTTTATATTTTGACTTTTTTATTATTGGCTATGACAGATTAAAGATTTGCAATTTGCCAAAAATACAGTTCTAGTGTATTTAAGCATGAATCACGCTCTTCCTCTCTATGACAATTAACAGATGACGTATAACGCAAGAATCTTATATATGTATAGAGATTGGTCATAGTCTTTCAGAACCGCAATACATTAAACGAGGAACAATATGGGAAACTACAGAGTCCTCATGAAGATGATTTTTCTTGTGGTGTTTGTTGGGTGGCTACTGGTTTGGACATTGTTGCCAACAGAAAATTACAAAAATAAGTGGTCTCCAAAATTAAAAAGCAAGCTCAACTCAACGTACTTCAGAGAACAAGGTTAATTTGCGCTTAGTCTGCAGTTAAATTAATATGATCATTTCTTCTTCTGTTAATATTGTTTCAGATATCATGTTACTCACACAATATTTTATATCTATATATATATATATATATATGTATATCCTTGGTCTTTTGTAGGGACAAATCTTGTCCTTTTTTCATTCCCCATTATGTTCATAGCAGCTTTGAGCTGTGTTTATCTCCATATTCAGATCAAGAAGTCAAGCAAGTCATCGAAGTCCAAAAGGTTACTAGCTTTTCCTCAACTTTCTTATAATGTAAATACCATTATCACATTAACTGAAATAATAAGTTAGATTCTGAAACGTTATAAATGTTTGCAGCAGTAATGTTATCACAAGTGGTTTGGCCTCTTGGAGACGTCCAGTGTTTGTAAAAGCACCTTTGGGGATTGTTAGCGCAGTGGAGCTTTGTTTTGTGGTCATGTTTGTTGTTCTCTTAATATGGTCTCTTGCAAATTACTTGTATGTCAGCTTTGGCCATCTCCACATGCATGGAAAGAGCGTGAAAATGTAGGTTTTCTTTCTCTTTTTCTTTTTTTTTCATTTCCCAAAAAAAAAAAAAAAAAAAAAACAAAGTAAAAAATTGGTACAACTAAGAACAAGAGCGATCATCAAACCTTTTTAAAGCCAGCGATATTTATGACACATGGATTTATGTCTAATATTAATTAATATTATTATTAAGAGTCTTTCGAAAATGGAATTGTTTATATGTGGTAGATGGCAAACAAAGTTCCGGAGTGTGGCACTGAGACTCGGGTATATTGGAAACACATGTTGGGCATTTCTATTCTTTCCAGTAACAAGAGGGTCTTCAATTTTGCCTCTTGTTGGCCTCACATCGGAGTCCAGCATAAAGTATCACATCTGGCTTGGCCATCTCTCCATGATCCTGTTTGTTGCTCATACCGTCGGTTTCATCATTTACTGGGCCATGACTGACCAAATGGCTGAGGTATATATCTAGTAATTATCACTAACTTGGCATTAATTATTAGTCAGCTTCTATACCAATTATTCTGATAATTTTCTTATGGCTATGGTTTGTGTGAAACATATAAGTGGTATATAGATCAAGATAGATACGTGTATAAATCTTGTTAGCTTTATTCTTTTTTTCTTTTTTCCCCTCTTCCCTCTTGCTTGATACACACACACACACACACACACATATATATATATATATGAAGATTCTTCATGTCCTTTCATGTTATTTCTAAAGGTAGAGTGAATGGTCCAACATATATATATATATATATATGTATACGCATGTTATTTCTAATGATATATAGTCACGATTAGTGCCACTTTTCATGGATCAGCGTCCTATATCTAGGGCTGATACTAAACAACAATGCTATAAAAGAAAAAGATATTGACAACTCTTATGCATAAAAGTAAAAAAGACGAGGGAAATCCTACTCAATCGTATGATTTGTATTGTATTCATGCAATTCCTTATTTACAGAAAATTAATATATGTGTTTGTGTGTTTATTATAATGAAATTAATGCACGGTGCATGCAGATGCTAGAATGGAGCAGCACTTACGTGTCAAACGTAGCGGGGGAGATTGCGATAGTAATAGCAATAGTGATGTGGGTAACGAGCATTCGCAGAGTAAGAAAAAAGATGTTTGAGTTGTTCTTCTACACGCACTACCTCTACACAGTCTATATCCTCTTCTACGTACTCCATGTTGGAGTTGCCTACTTCTGCATGATTCTTCCTGGGATCTTCCTCTTCCTCGTCGATCGCTTCTTGAGATTCTTGCAATCCCGCCACCATGCAAGACTGCTCTCCGCTCGCCTTTTACCTTGCGGCGCTTTTGAACTCAACTTCTCCAAGAGCCACGGTAATTAGGCCGCCTTTATCGATCATCCTATCATCACCAACTGATTGATTTTTTTTTTTTGAAACTGTCAGATTAAAATATGCATGAATGCCAGGGTTGACATGACAGATTATAATAGTTACAACGGGTGTCCATATTTACATTACCATACGACCTTTATAATCGTTCAAGATACAGTGGAAGAACCAGATCAAAAGATGATTATCCTATGCACTAATACACTATAATATAAGTCATATATACAAATATTAGAAAAATATAACATTTATTAAAATTTGAGAACTTAATATACTTGGAGCTTCTAGTAGAGGCTTCTGGCCCGATTGGTATATGGGTTCAAATTAGGATCGTTAATTATAACTTTTAAAATTTAACTTTTTTTACGAGAGACAAACACTGTAGCAGAAATAGAATTGTGAATTTGCACTGTAGCATGACCCATATACTAAACATCACTAATGTTAAGAGAAGAGGAGAGTAGGAAATAAAGGATATTCAAAGAGGTTGATTTTCATGCAGAGAATGTACGTTTGGAAGCTCTTGCATGGAAAATGTATATAGTGTCCCTCTTATATTTTTGAGATCTATTAATAAAACTTCAAAATGCACTGTGTCACCTACTATAGACGAATAACATCATTATGACCGGTATCTACAATTTTGACAAATCCCACAATCATAATGGTCTTTTGATATTTTCGAGATTCTTTTTCGTTGAATTTCACTGTTACGTAGGATGAATCCTACTACCATATGAGCCTTCAGCTTTTTATTAAGAATATTTCCTTTGAGAGCATTACTTTTATAGGTATTGTTTTTGGATCCGTCTCATTATCATCTGGATCTTCACATGGATTCTAACAGAATTTCTATTATCAGCAGGATCTTCACATGTATATATACATAATACATGTACGTAAATGTATATACAATAATTTCTCTCTTTAACTAACATGCAATTTTGTTACAGGGTTGCAGTATAATCCAACAAGCATTATGTTTATAAACGTGCCCATAATTTCCAAGTTGCAATGGCACCCTTTTACAGTGACTTCAAACTGCAATTCAGAGCCACATAAGCTGAGTGTCGTCATCAAGAGTGTTGGAAGCTGGTCTCAAAAGCTCTACAAACAACTTTCTTCTTCTTCACTTGATCACTTGGAAGTTTCCGTTGAAGGACCATATGGGCCATCTTCATTTTCCTTTCTAAGGTCCATTTTGCACAAATTGAAAATGCCATACTGTAATAGTAATATTATATTATATTTTAAATGTTGATGAGCTTCATTGTATTGGTTATTTTTATTATTAATAAACATTTTCTTGTGAACTCTTTTTTTTTTTTTTTTCCTCTCATGCAGGCACGAGGCTCTAATAATGGTTGGTGGTGGGAGTGGCGTTACTCCTTTTATTTCCATAATTCGTGAGATTCTCTTCCAAAGCACAAAACCCAATATCCATATTCCTCGGATTACTCTCATTTGTGCCTTCAAGAACTCATCTGATCTCAGCATGTTAGACCTCTTGCTTCCGATATCAGGCGCAAACTCTGATCGGATTTCCCAAATACAGCTCCAAATAGAAGCCTACGTAACCCAAGAGAATGAGCAGCCCAAATCAGAAGCCCATAAGCCCCTACAGACCATTTGGTTCAAGCCCAGCCCACTAGACAAGCCCATTTCCGCAACTCTAGGCCCAAACAACTGGCTGTGGCTTGGTGCAATTATAGCATCCTCGTTTGTCCTTTTCCTATTAGTTTTGGGCCTAGTCACTCGTTACTACATTTACCCTTATGACCAGAAGGATGGTCAATTTTACCATTACTCTTACAGAGTTCTTTGGGACCTGTTTTTGGTCTGCTCTTGCATTTGCCTAGTCTCTAGTGTAGCTTTTGTTTTGTGCAAGAGAAGCAATGCAATGGAAGATAAGCAAATCCAGAACGTGGAAATGTCGAAGCCAACGACGTCTCCGGCGGCACGGTCTTACGTGGCAGCCGAGAATAAGGAGCTTGAAAGCCTTCCTAATCAGTCACTGATTGAAGCTATAAAAGTTCATTTTGGTGCTAGGCCAGATCTCAAGAGTAAGTTCCTCATAACAAACATTTCCACGTAAACTAGTTTATTGTAACCGGTGTATTGAATATTGATAAATCATTTTTGTGTGCAATGTTGGACATTATCCTGCAGAAATTCTGTTTGATTCCAAAGCATCTGATGTTGGAGTTTTGGTATGTGGCCCGAGGAAGATGCGACATGAGGTTGCGAAAATTTGCGCATCCGGATTGGCGGATAATCTGCACTTTGAGTCCATTAGTTTTAACTGGTGATTTCTGATACAATAGGATTTGTATCAGTATGAGACTCATGTTATCTCAATGTTTGTTGCGATGATACATATATTGTATATCAACGGTTCATTACTAGTGATGAAATAACGGTGTATCTATGATAATTGTTCGTGTTGTATAATTAGTCTGAAGTGTTGTTTGTCGATTTTCTTTGCAAGTTGCCTTTAGATAAATTACTGTTCGAATAATGGGAAATGTCATTCTCATTGTGTATATTGTTTGTTTTTTTTTTTTTTTTTTTGTCATATTTGATGAAAAATATAATGTCAATTATTGGATTGTGTTTATAGATGCAACATTTCCTTTATTGGCAAGACATGTCTTGCAATCCTTGTTAGTAGCCCATCTTGCTCTCTTACTTCCCGACTCACACGAGTCAAGATGTTTAACATTTTTGTTAGTTAAAAACTGAAACTAAGTTGGGAACCGACCGGAACATATGAATTGACATGTGAGAACAAGTTGAATGAGGCAAAGGAACATTCTTTTCATATTAGGATAACTGCAATTAATTAGCACTTGATTTTCCTAAGCAAACTTTTAAGTGACAATGAAGCGTATATCAGCACATGAACAAATCCAAATCAATCAAATCCTTGCCAGCATTCAAACTACCTAAGAATTAATTCCTTTTATTGAGCAAAGAGTTAGAATGCAAATTTATTCCTTTAATTTATTATGCACTACCCTTTTGTACGGATCAAAATCTACAAGAGGTTTGAACTATTTATAATAGAAGAGACGTATGTATTTTTAAAAAGAGAAAAATTGCTGTAATGCTAAATGACAAATGTACAATGTGGTAAATGTAACGTTGTTGCATATGACAATTACATTGGAAATAACGAACAAGCTATGCTTGTGCATTTGTAAATACCTTCCGTTGTCTTACTATTCCTCTAAGAATAAAGGTCAGATCTATCATATTTACACGTCCTCTCCTTATATTTTACATATAACTTAGCTTGCAAAATGACACTAATATGTGAATTAATGGAAACTTGACATGAATTGTGATTCTATCCCCACAATACATGGACTACTTTTTTGTATTAATTCATACTCATGGTACCGGGGACTACTTTTTTGTATTGATTCATACTCATGGTACTTGTTTATGTAATAAGCAAGCTATATATGTGTATATAGAAAGGAATTAAATTATACAAGTTACCGGGAAAATGGTGGAAGAAAGTGATTCTTTCAAAGGAATGAAGAAGCTCAAATCAGCAATCCTCTTGTTTCTGATGATGGTTTTTGTTGGCTATATTTTGATTTGGTTTATGATGCCAACCAACACCTTTTATCTTCATTGGTTGCCTGACATTCAACTAAAAACAGATTCAACCTATTTTGGGCAGCAAGGTTTTGAATTTGATTGAACATGATTTTGTTTGGTCAATAGTACACATCTTTAAGACTAATATTATAGAATTTAAGCATTTTTGTTTTATTTTTTTGCTTGGCAGGTGCAAACATTCTTGTCTACACATTTCCCATCCTTTTCATAGCAACTTTGAGTTGTATATATCTTCATATAAGAAAGAAAATTGATGGCAATAACACAGAAAGGTATCGGGTTTCAAACTTACCTTACTAATGGAAAAATGCTTGAGGGCACCAGTGATGTTCAACACCACAACTAATTAAAAGTGAGCTCCATTTTTCTATGCTGATGAACCCATATTTTATTAGTGTGTGGTGTTGGATTCAACTGGTACATCTTAGTATTTGATTCCTATTTATATTGCATGTCGAAAAACATGGAATTTTGAGTAGGAAAATGAATCAAGTTATTTTTACTATAGCATTGCGGAAAATGCATATTTGGCATCATGGATGCGACCTGTGCTCGTCAAAGGTCCTCTTGGAATTGTTTCTTGGACGGAACTATCCTTTTTAGCCATGTTCATTACTCTGCTTGTCTGGTCTTTCTCTTCTTACTTGCATGGTATGTTTGCCAATATCAACCAACAGGCAGAACAAATGAGAAGGAATGTGTAAGCAAATCTATTTCTAATCTTTCATATTTTTGTTTCCATGTGTTTTCCTCACAATAAAACCAAAAAAAAAAAAAAAAAAAAGAGACTATTTGATGCACTCGAAGTCAATGAATTTGGCAGGTGGGAAGCAAAGTTAGGAAGCTCAGCACTTATGCTAGGCCTAGTTGGGAATATTTGTCTAGCTTTTCTCTTCTTCCCCGTGACGAGAGGGTCTTCGATTTTGCAGTTCCTTGGCCTCACATCAGAGTCAAGCATCAAATACCATATTTGGCTGGGGCATATTTCCATGACCTTCTTCACTGCTCATGGTTTATGTTACATCATCTTTTGGTCCAGGACAAACCAAATATCAGAGGTAAGAATTCGAATTCTGCAAGCGAAAAATCTGCGTTATTTGGCAACTTAAAAGCACTATTCGGTAATTTCAAAGCTGTAAACTCAATTCAATTGTGGTGCGGTGCAGATGTTGAAATGGGAAAAGATTGGCGTATCAAATATGGCAGGGGAAGTGGCATTGCTCTCTGGATTAGTAATGTGGGCAACAAGCTTCCCTCGCATAAGGCGAAAGATTTTCGAGCTCTTTTTCTATACTCATCATCTCTATGTTGTCTTTGTTGTCTTCTTCGTTTTCCATGTGGGGTTCTCCTATTCTTGCATCATGCTCCCTGGCTTTTACCTATTCTTGATTGATAGGTACTTGCGATTCTTACAATCCCAACAAAGAATTGCCCCGGTTTCAGCTCGGATTCTACCCTGTCAGGTTGTTGAGTTGAACTTATCCAAATGCCCAGGTGAAGCGTAGACAAATAAATTTATGTGACCTTCTGCTAAATCAATGTCCACTTAAAGAACATTTTCATATGGCAAACACATGAATTCCTGAATAATGAAGTTGTTGTGTTTTTTCTGTTAAATTTAATTTCTAGGATTGAGTTACTCTCCAAGAAGCATCGTGTTTCTAAATGTACCTGCAATTTCCAAGCTGCAATGGCATCCTTTTACTGTTACTTCAAGCAGCAATTTTGATCCTGAGAAACTAAGTGTTGTCATCAAAAGTGAAGGAAGTTGGTCTCATAATTTGTATGATATGTTATCATCCTCTCCACATATAGATCGCCTTGCGATATCTATTGAAGGACCCTATGGACATACTTCAACGAACTTCCAAAGGTGCTCAAACGCTTAAGACTAGATTAGTTCTTTTAAGGGACAATTTCAGGTGACTTGTGGTCTTAAACATTTTAGAATCCATGTAAAATCTCCATTGCAGGCACGAAATGCTAGTGATGGTGAGCGGAGGAAGCGGCATCACTCCTTTCATTTCCGTCATTCGCGAGCTCCTCTTCAGGGCCAACAAGGCGACCGGAAAGACTCCAAGCATATTGCTTGTTTGCGCTTTTAAGACATCTCTAGATCTCACCATGCTAGACCTCATCCTCCCAGTTTCAGACACTAACTTCGATATCTCTTGCTTATTACAACTACGAATTGAAGCCTATGTCACAAGAGAGAAGCAGCCCCCAACGGATAGCTACAAATTCCCTCAAACTATATGGTTCAAACCCGACACTTTAGATGTGTCGGTTTCTGCAATACTGGGACAGAACAGTTGGCTGTGGCTTGCCATGATTGTTTCGTCTTCTTTCGTTATTTTTCTTCTGCTCATCGGCGTACTCACACGATACTACATATACCCGATTGACCATAATTCTAATATAACCTACTCTTTCTCTTCCAAATCTGCACTGAACATGTTATTCGTGTGCATCTCCATAGCCACAACTGCAACTCTGGTTTTTCTATGGAACAAGAAACGGAATGCAAACGAAATGAGGCAGATTCAGAACACGAACACAGCATCACCGATAAATACCTCGCCAAGCGCATGGTTCTACGATGCTGAGAGAGAGTTGGAAAGCCTTCCTCGCCAGTCTTTGGTTCAAGCCACCACAGTTCACTACGGTACAAGACCTGATTTGAAAAGTAAGCCATTTCTTAAACCAAAAACTATCTCCTTACAAAGGACAGTTTTTTTTCAAATTTGTTTTAAAACACAATTTATTGCAGAAATACTGTCGGAGTGCAAAAGCTCAAGCGTCGGGGTTCTTGTAAGCGGCCCGAGGAAAATGAGGCAAGAAGTGGCTGCAATATGTTCTTCTGGTTCCGCAAATAATCTACATTTCCACTCCTCAAGCTTCAGCTGGTGAACTGAGCTGTAGAGAAACTGCACTTTCTACGTTTCTTTGAAAGTTCTGTAGTCTCGTTTTACCTACGTCTTCCCTAGATAGTTATATTTCAATGGAAGAATGTACTAAGCAGATTTTTGAAACTAAGTAAATTGCAGATTTTAAAATTATTTGTAGTAAATAACAACTTACCGCGTAAATATTTTATTTACAACCAGTAAAAAAAAAAAATCACGTAAATTTTCTTTTTAAGGCTGTTAAAAAGGATTTTTTTTACGTAAAGAAAAAAATTTTACCACGTAAATTAAATTATTTTTACCAGTGTAAATGAACACATTTATACAGTAAACTGCTATTTATTTTAAAAAAAAATTTAAAATCTGTCATTTACTTTATTTAGTTTCAAAAATCTATTATTTGCTACAATTTTCGTATTTTTCAATTTGCATTTGTAATGGTTTTGGCATAATGTTAAAGTCCAGGTTTTAGGAGTCGAGTAGTCCAACGTTGCTGCAATCATTTGCCATTCATTGACAAGGAAAATGCATGTTGAAGAGAAATTGGGACGATATAAGAAACTTGTGTATTAAAAAAGGATGGCACTTTGCCTGTCATTTTTACTGTATTAACCTCAAAGAGGATATATATATATATATATATATATATATATATGCGCCAGGGGCGGAAAATTGCTAAAAGAGATTAAAAAAAACGAGGGAAAATAAATGAAAAGCCAAAACAGGCCTAACCCGGAAAAAAAAAATGCTGAGGGAACAAGATAGGTGAGAGCTTCCACAAGCAGTGATAGCCGCCAGGAAGACAAAAGGAAAATTCACATGCTTTCCTTTTTGTGGAATTAAAAACAAAATAAACAAAACAAGAGAGCTAATCTCCTATCTAACCAGAGAGAATTGACCAACGGAAGGAGAAAAACGAGGACTGACAAAGGCTAAAAGCTCCAAGAGTTTTCTCCGTCTATGCATCTTGCAAATTGCAATCTCTCAAACTTCAAGAACATAATAAAGTAATCATTTGTTTTCCTCAATTGGCCTTTCTCTTCACCAACTCGCCCAGGTAGACATTCCTTGGCCGTCTAGCAGCAACACCGTTATTATCACTATCGTTGTAGTTATTGTGAGTGTTACATGACACAAAACTGTCTTTTGCGTCGAACCGAAACCGCCGCACAACACCATCAGCGTCGTAACCCTTTGCTCGAGGAAAGATCTCATACCTGCCGTCATGTTTTCGTCTTTCCTCATCGCTACGTGGCCTTCCACCACCTCAACCCATCTCAGAAAATCTCGCAGGTCACATCGTAGGTTTGTAGTAATCATCTGAAGTAAACCTTTGAAACAAACACATGGCAAACCTTAGGCCCTGCTGGAATATTCCTGCAGGTAATCTCCTGCCCTCAAAGTGATGATCCACAGCAACCTTTTGGAATTGTTACGTTGCGGGTTGCAGCGACAGAGTCCAACGAGAGAACCGGAGCTCTTTTCGGAGTTGGAGTCACAGACGAAGCCGTTTTGCATATTAACAAAGGCCCTTGACAGCAACAGGTGCTCCCCAAGTTTGTGCTTTTTCCCACGTGCCCCTCAGTTTCCCATGTTTTACCTTTTTCGTCCCGACGTGCAAAATCTACCTCTACATATTGACGTCTGAGACACATATAAATGGTCCTGTTCACAAGCACTGAGGATAATGCCCATCCAATAAGCATTTTGAAAATTAAGAAATTCAAACATATATTTTCTTCTTTTTTCTTATTATATTAGAATTTAAATAGTCCCACTTCACCGTTATAAAGCTGATTATATAAAATATCTAGGGGTATCTATCTGTTTACATGTCAAATAAAAAAAATACAAAAACGATCCAAAGAAAGACAAAAACCACCCAATAAAGATTACTTTCTTGCTCAATCCCCAAAGTTGAGAGAATAATAATCAATGATCAATGAAGATAAAAACAAAAAAACAAACGCGCAGCTTTGAAAAATATCCGGATTGCAAGAAAACAGGTTGCCAAAAATAGAAATCATGCGGGGACAGTATAAGGCGAGCTTTCCAAGTTTTAGTAAGATTTTGCAAAAATGGCAACTTCCTTGGCGGGATTACCGGTCATCAGGCATGTTTTAATCCCTTGAGACTGTTCAAAAGGGAAACACCTAATAGTTGCCCCTGTTTCTTCTTTCACTTTCAACTCATCCGCGTCACTGTGTCAATATAATCAAATATTTCCTATTAGAATTGCAATTGAACTAGTGAATAGTAGATAACTATACAGGCTTATAAAGCTTGTATTGTAGAGAAAATAGTAACAAGTCAGTTTATATGTACCTAGCTGACCAAGGACCCCTTGCCCATTTGCCTTCGGAGATTGCCTCTTTAAGTTCATCGTATGAGGTAACATCCACAATGTTGCTGCCCAAAAAAAATAATAATAAATAAATAAACACTTCTCGTCAATGTCGTTTCAGACTTTGGCAAACACAGTGGGATGGATTCTGACGTTGGATTAGGTTACACAGTCAGAACACATAAGACCTTGCCCAGTGCCGAGTCTAAACCCCACATATAAAGCAGTTGCAAGAATTTCTTTGAGTGAAAAAACAGCGATTATGTGGGAGTGTGTAAAAACATATCCCACTGATGGGAACAATTTCGTAATGCTAGATCACAGTAGGATCACATTACAGCAAAAAAAGTATGAAAATTTAACAGAATTTAATGAAGATGTGACGATTTAGAACTATGCACATCAATAGGAACCTAGCTCATGTCGCTTTACAAGTATGCAAAGGTGGCAAATACTAGAGTACAAGAATGCACCTATCACGAAATGATGTTGCCTTCCCCAAAAGAGATAACTGGATCTCATCCAATTTGTCTTTGACATAAGCCTCCAATGTTGCAGGCTCCATCGATATTCCAAAAACCTTTCCTTGCTTCCCAGGAACATCCCTCCTAGATATGACCACACTCCGGCTTGCAACATCACGCGGACCAATTTCAATTCTTAAAGGGACTCCCTACAAGATCAAGGCCTGTTTTTGAGGTGACTGACCGTAGTACAAGTATCAATAACACATTTTCAGGGGGAAGATTAATACGTAATCATAGATATTATGATAATTAATTTTTGTTTCCTTTTGGGATCGGGGGTCCCAACAAAATGCTAAATGAAAAACAACAAGTCAAAACTTAACAATCTTGTTATTTATATTCAAGAATAAAGGACAAACCTTCATCTCCCAAAAATTGAATTTCCATCCTGGAGTTCTCTGCTCAGAGTCGTCAAGTTTAACTTTAATTCCGGCAGTTTGCAGAACCTCTTTTACAGATGATGCAGCACTACGAACTCCTGCCCTATCATCATCTGTCTTCCAAATTGGTACAATCACCACCTAAAAGTGTGCAATAAACAAACTTTTTAGGGGCAAAACAAAAACACATGCGAGCATGACCAGGTTCAAGCACACACAAATACAAATCTGCTTCCCAGAAACAACAATTAGGTGGTCATTAAATTGAATGAAAACTCATAAGATTAAGTTAATTAACATATGAAATAGGAAAAAATGATAATTCAATTTTTGGACGCCTAAAAAGTGAACAGATTGAGCATCTTAAGTAAACAAAAGAAATAAGGCATCTCAAAATCAACATAAATTTTTATTATAAGTAGGCAGCAAATTTTATTGTCTGTTTTTTTTTTTTTTTTTTTTTCCTTCTTTATGTCCATTTCCTATGGCCTCTAAACCTGTAATCACATAGTTGTGTGTGTGTGTGTGTGTGTGTGTGTGTGTGTCTGCGTGCTATCATTGGCTCTCTGATGATTCAACTACAACCACATATCCACAGAAAAGTTTTATAGCGTTACCTGGATTGGTGCAACCCTTGGAGGAAGCATTAAACCTGTGTCATCTCCATGGGTCATGATTATACCCCCAACAAAGCGAGTACTGATAGCCCATGACGTTTGCCATACATGCTGTCTTTGACCTCCTTCATCAGTGAACTGTAAAAGCACATATTTGGACAAATTTCTCCATGATTGATAAATCCCATAAACGAATAGACAAGGGGCACTGAATGAATCCAAGGGAACATTTGCATGGCAACTACCTGCGTTCCAAACGCGCGCGAGAAGTTCTGCCCAAGATTATGGCTAGTTCCAGCCTGTAGCGCCTTCCGATCACCCATCATAGCCTCTATTGTATAAGTCCTATCAGCACCAGCAAATGTCTCAACTTTTGATTTTCGACCTGCAATAACAGGTATTGCAGTTTGCTCGTAAGCAAATTTTGTATAGACGTCGATCATCTGTATAGCCTGCAAGTTCAGCAGTACCAATACATTAAAGAAATAAACATAATACTACAACAGAAGAAGCATACATACAACAAGATCCAAACCTCTTTTTCTGCCTCTTCTGGAGTGGCATGAGCAGTATGGCCCTCCTGCCAAAGAAATTCAAGAGTCCTCACAAAAGGTTTTGTGCGCATCTCCCATCTCGTGACATTTGCCCACTGACGCAAACATGGAAAGCATACAAAGAATACGGGATTCAATTGCTTAAGTCTTCGCAACTTTAAGCATTATAAATGAGAAAACAACAAATCAAACCTGGTTAATCATAAGAGGAAGATCACGGTAACTATGAATCCACTGAGTAAACATGTGATTCACTATGGTTTCACTTGTAGGTCGAACCTGCCAGAGCCTCAAGAAGTGCAAAAATCAAACCCAAATCTTAGGTCATAGTTTTATAGAACCTCAAACAGAAAAGCACATCAAATTACATCTTCAATACACTCTAAAGAAAACTTTTCGAAAATCAGAAACCAAAAATAACGGTAGTTATTCAGGAAGGCACGTACCACAAGTTTTTCTTCAAGTTCTTTTCCTCCTCCAATTGTAACAAGTGCTAGTTCCGGACTGAAACCCTCAACATGGCTAGCTTCTTTCTCTATGAACGAGTACGGTATAAACTGCATTTAAAAAAAAAAAGACACACACACAGACAACAACAACTGAATTTTGGAAACAATGCCAGGTGAAATTCTGATATTGCATAAAAACAACCACACATTTACGAACTTCTTTGGTGCAATTATCCAAATTCATGGACTTAGAAACCATTTTATTCAAGTTCAGCTCTTAGACAGTGAGAAATAACATCTAACTACAGCTTTCATGACAGAATTTTCATAATAAAAGGTCACTTACCTGAGGGAAATACATATTACTATGGCCAGTCTCCTTGAACTTCACGTTCAAATAGTCCTACGAAACAAGCAAAAAGCCTCACACAAACTTCAACGTATAATTTAGATAAAAACAAAAAAAAAAGGTGTTTCTTTTCTTCTTCAGATACCTGAATGGCTTCCCAAATGGCGTAACCGTAGGGACGAATGACCATGGTGCCTCGAACAGGACCGTAATCAGCGAGCTCGGCGGAATCAATGACGTCGAGGTACCAAGCATTGAAGTCCTGCGACCGAGGCGTGACGGCTCGGTCCTGGACGCGGCTCCTCTGGCCGCCGTCGACTCGGTTCTCGGTCTCCGCCGCCGTGCTCTGTGCCGAGGCCCTGACGGAGAACGGCGGAGGCCAAAGATGGTGGCGCCGCCGCAGAGCCGCCGGGTACCGGGCGGAGATGGAGGGAGAGAAGAAGGAGGTGAGAGAAGGCAGTCTCAGAGTGACCACCATTTTTGGGGGTTTTGGGGTTTTTGGGGCTAAGAATGCTTGGGGATGAATAAGAAGAAGATGCTGATCACGTTCCAATGCATTGTAGCTTATGGTCGTTTCGTTCGCTTCTTTCACCATTGGGCTTTTTTAACATTGAGACGCCCATGTTCTTTTTTTCAGGCCCACAAAATGAGAAATTTTGAGCGGAAAGAAAATTGTTATAAAATAATGGTAAAAATTATAATGGCAAAAAACTAAAAGAACAAGAGAGTATAAGAGAAATATGAGAAATAAAGAAATTATATATTCTTTATGGTAAGGAGGGATCATACAAACAAATACCTGCTCTATTTATAGTTTAAGAATTATAACTAGAGGTCATACAAGAAGGCATAAGTTACATAAGTTACATGCAAAATTAAGAGATGAGTAATGGAGAATAATACACAATATTAAAAGGGAAAATAATAGGATATAAATGAGTGGTTTAATATTCATGTAGGTTATGGAATACCAAGATGCGGCATCCAATGCAATTGAATTACAACAAAAATCAGGTAAATGGTTGTTTTTCTAACCACCATCGAGTTTTTATTTTTATTTTTTAGCAAAATGACCGTTTTTTCTAGTAGTCAATCAATAATTGACCAACACTATAATTTATCAATATTTTATTATTACCAAGTATGTAATTTGTTGATCGAAATTAATTAATGATTTACCAATGATTAATTTATTTAGGGGTCAAATGTTGAAAATATCGTTTATTAATCAGGCATATAAGAGTCATATATAGTTGATAACATCTAGCTTTTAATAAATAATGATTTTGCAAATAGACCAGGGTTTGCTTCATAACATTTTGTAATTCAAGGGCCAAAACGAGAAGATGTGCATGGTTTGGGGGTCAGAAAGAAAATTGATCCCACGTGTTTTTTGTTTCAGTTTCTCTAGTTTGGAATTGGTGGAGAATTTTTTACTGTAGTAAAAAAAAAAATAAATGTGATTGTTTTTAAAAACTTTTTACTGTAATAAAACTCGAATCGGTAAAATAAATGTCTGATTGTCAAGATTTATGATTTATCCAAAGAAAACATCAATATATAAATAAACTATTATTAAAAGAAAAGATTCTACGTGTTCAGAAAGAGAGAACAATAGAGAGGGCGGATATGAATTGAAGAAGATATATGGGGGCCCAAAACAAAGTGAGATTAGTGGAGGAAAAAGAAAGAAGAAAGAGAAGAAACCTACCCCAACCCACCATACAACTAGTTATCCGAATTGCATAGAGATGTTTTCCTTAAAGTTCTCTACTGTAACTGGACAAACATCGCTTTCTAAATAAATACACTGAAAGTGTTGTAATGGCATCACAAAAAATTACTGCCAAAAGAAAAAAAGAAGAGAAAAAATGCTGTTTTTTAAGGGAAAAACGACGTTAAATTTTAGCACAAGTCGTAGAGAAAATTGCAAATTCAAATTTATCATTACTTAATAGTTAAGATGTTATTCGGATCTCAGAAACAGTAATGACAAACATTAAATGGAATGTCCCTAAACGTGAGAATGTGTTCAAGGGTAAATTCATACTTAAAGTACCAAAAAAGAAAGATGGAAACCACAAGTAAAAATCACGACTTCGGATTCATCTGTAGTCGCGTCTGCATTAAGAAGAGAACAAGTTCTTAACAAAGAAATAACAAACTAAACGAATGTTTTTTACACACACAAAAGGATATAACTACAACTATTTAATATCTGGGTCTATTTCCAGCAAATAAGAATTCAAGTTTTGTAACAAAAGCATAACAATGCAGTTAAGTGGTGTCGCGCAATTAGGGTGAGTCCATCAACTTGAAATTGATGCTGTCACAATCCTTCCAGAAAGCACTGCTGTAAATTGGTGATTTCGGACTCCTACAAGTTGGAGAGTTCATCTTCATTTTCCAGAGGTCATCTTCAATTAGATGCTCGGTGATCTCTTCCGGTTCCAAAGTAGACAGAGGATTCTGAGGCTGTAACAAAGGTAAAAGAATCATGACCATTTGTCAGGTAAGAAAGAAGTACGGAAAATAACAGAAACACAGCGGAAAGACAAAGAGTATGAAATAATAAAAAGTTACCATCATCTTGCTCAACTTTACAGGAGGAACCCGTGGAGATTCGACCTGTTGTGAAGAACCTAATAGAAAAAATAAACCGATCAAAATGACACAAAATCACATGTGCAAGTTTATGATAATGTGCAATGAATTAGTATTAGTACGAGCTTTTTGTATACCGTTGGTTAGTCCAATTGAAACCAGAAACTGTTCCACGTCCATCGGCTTAGTCTTTGCTTTGATGCATTCCTGATGGTCATGCAGAAACTGTTCCTCTGCAATACAACTGGGAAAGAGATGTTCCTCTTCTACAGCGCTCAGCTTCAGGGAAAGATTGTTCTTTGAAGCCTCATGAAGATGTGCTTTCCCTGAGTTTGAAATATCGGAGAGTGCTTTTCTGCTACGAGTCTGCATTTTGTCTGAGGTTTTAGCAATGCTTTTTCTGTTGCTTTCTTCACGAGTCACTTCTTTGATGAAACCAAAATTCTTGGAGTTCTGCTTCTTTGATGCCTGAGTGGGGGCAATGTTGGTCGAGTTCGATATTTCACCAAGCGGTTTCCTTCCACCAAGCCCCACTTTCTTCTGCGATTTATTCGCATGCATCTTTCCCCCGGCAGAAGCTCCTGCAGTATTAAAAATTACCCATGTCAAATAGCTTTAACAGCAGAAGTGAATCAAGGAAACAAGTACATCCAGTAAGTAAACAAAGAACTGGAGTAATACCACTATATTGAACATTGAAGTTCTGATCTTGAAACGGGACACCAATTGCCGATGCCATTGTGCTTTTTCTGGGAAAATTCAGCTCAGTATTCTGCAAATATTGTAAATAAATATATATAAGAAACCACACAAAAAAATTAAGCACAATTCATAAACAAGCCCCATTGGCAAAAAATGAAACCATAGATACAAGATCAAATGTTAAAAAGATTCATATCTTGAATAGCGGTGATCAACTCGAATCGGTAAAATAAATGTCTGATTGTCAAGATTTATGATTTATCCAAAGAAAACATCAATATATAAATAAACTATTATTAAAAGAAAAGATTCTACGTGTTCAGAAAGAGAGAACAATAGAGAGGGCGGATATGAATTGAAGAAGATATATGGGGGCCCAAAACAAAGTGAGATTAGTGGAGGAAAAAGAAAGAAGAAAGAGAAGAAACCTACCCCAACCCACCATACAACTAGTTATCCGAATTGCATAGAGATGTTTTCCTTAAAGTTCTCTACTGTAACTGGACAAACATCGCTTTCTAAATAAATACACTGAAAGTGTTGTAATGGCATCACAAAAAATTACTGCCAAAAGAAAAAAAGAAGAGAAAAAATGCTGTTTTTTAAGGGAAAAACGACGTTAAATTTTAGCACAAGTCGTAGAGAAAATTGCAAATTCAAATTTATCATTACTTAATAGTTAAGATGTTATTCGGATCTCAGAAACAGTAATGACAAACATTAAATGGAATGTCCCTAAACGTGAGAATGTGTTCAAGGGTAAATTCATACTTAAAGTACCAAAAAAGAAAGATGGAAACCACAAGTAAAAATCACGACTTCGGATTCATCTGTAGTCGCGTCTGCATTAAGAAGAGAACAAGTTCTTAACAAAGAAATAACAAACTAAACGAATGTTTTTTACACACACAAAAGGATATAACTACAACTATTTAATATCTGGGTCTATTTCCAGCAAATAAGAATTCAAGTTTTGTAACAAAAGCATAACAATGCAGTTAAGTGGTGTCGCGCAATTAGGGTGAGTCCATCAACTTGAAATTGATGCTGTCACAATCCTTCCAGAAAGCACTGCTGTAAATTGGTGATTTCGGACTCCTACAAGTTGGAGAGTTCATCTTCATTTTCCAGAGGTCATCTTCAATTAGATGCTCGGTGATCTCTTCCGGTTCCAAAGTAGACAGAGGATTCTGAGGCTGTAACAAAGGTAAAAGAATCATGACCATTTGTCAGGTAAGAAAGAAGTACGGAAAATAACAGAAACACAGCGGAAAGACAAAGAGTATGAAATAATAAAAAGTTACCATCATCTTGCTCAACTTTACAGGAGGAACCCGTGGAGATTCGACCTGTTGTGAAGAACCTAATAGAAAAAATAAACCGATCAAAATGACACAAAATCACATGTGCAAGTTTATGATAATGTGCAATGAATTAGTATTAGTACGAGCTTTTTGTATACCGTTGGTTAGTCCAATTGAAACCAGAAACTGTTCCACGTCCATCGGCTTAGTCTTTGCTTTGATGCATTCCTGATGGTCATGCAGAAACTGTTCCTCTGCAATACAACTGGGAAAGAGATGTTCCTCTTCTACAGCGCTCAGCTTCAGGGAAAGATTGTTCTTTGAAGCCTCATGAAGATGTGCTTTCCCTGAGTTTGAAATATCGGAGAGTGCTTTTCTGCTACGAGTCTGCACTTTGTCTGAGGTTTTAGCAATGCTTTTTCTGTTGCTTTCTTCACGAGTCACTTCTTTGATGAAACCAAAATTCTTGGAGTTCTGCTTCTTTGATGCCTGAGTGGGGGCAATGTTGGTCGAGTTCGATATTTCACCAAGCGGTTTCCTTCCACCAAGCCCCCCTTTCTTCTGTGATTTATTCGTATGCATCTTTCCCCCGGCAGAAGCTCCTGCAGTATTAAAAATTACCCATGTCAAATAGCTTTAACAGCAGAAGTGAATCAAGGAAACAAGTACATCCAGTAAGTAAACAAAGAACTGGAGTAATACCACTATATTGAACATTGAAGTTCTGATCTTGAAACGGGACACCAATTGCCGATGCCATTGTGCTTTTTCTGGGAAAATTCAGCTCAGTATTCTGCAAATATTGTAAATAAATATATATAAGAAACCACACAAAAAAATTAAGCACAATTCATAAACAAGCCCCATTGGCAAAAAATGAAACCATAGATACAAGATCAAATGTTAAAAAGATTCATATCTTGAATAGCGGTGA